ACTTGAAGAGTACAGTCATGTAGTCCCTTGGCAAAAATGCGATTCCGCGGCCGCGGATTATTATTATTATTATTATTTTATTTATTTTACTAGGGTGTTTCCCACAGACCTATGTTTCCCCAGAAATTGCCATCGTCCGCGGAAATCACAGAATTTTATTAAAATTAGTAAAATTACTATTCAGAAAGCAGCAGAAAAGCTACTTTGGGATCTGTTTTTAAAGCATATTGCTCTCTTGCCAGTGAAGGTAAGTGCAGGTCTTTCCAAGATTCTTCACTCCCAATCAGTTGGTGACGGCAAAGGATAGTGTGAAAAGTACTCCTTTCTGGGAATCTGCATATCCTCTACAAGGAGGATGAAAAACTTGCAGAAAGTGCCGCAGATTTTTCATTTCACTGCAGAAAATGCCGCAGAATAACCCTCTTTGCCGCGGAATTTGGAATTCTTGTCCGCATCTTTCCAAGGGGACAGTACTCGAAGTCATTGTTCCCAGTACACTCGTAGCTCTCTAACCCGGACCTCCAAGTGGCGGGCACCTTTGTCTACCGGGCACCCTGTAGATGGGTTCTAGTGGAAATATTACTACTCCTTTGCAAAGTTACTACTCCTTTGCAAAGTTACCACTCCTTTGCAAAGTTACTACTCCTTTGCAAAGTTACTACTCCTTTGCAAAGTTACCACTCCTTTGCAAAGTTACTACTCCTTTGCAAAGTTACTACTCCTTTGCAAAGTTACTACTCCTTTGCAAAGTTACTACTCCTTTGCAAAGTTACCACTCCTTTGCAAAGTTACCACTCTTTTGCAAAGTTACTACTCCTTTGCAAAGTTACTACTCCTTTGGAAAGGTTTCTTTTAAAATAGTGACATCATGTCCCAGACCGCTGGCTCTTCCTCTACAAAATGTACGTCGTTCAGAGCTACGGGTATTTCTGTCCCTCCGGGAACTTGCGATTCTGCGGCGGCATTGTTTTCCCCGTTTTGAACAAAAGTCCGCGATATTTGAAAAATCATCCGTGTTATTGTAGAAAACTGTCCTTGATACTTGACCAGCACTCGCGATATTTCGAAAAGCACCCGCGATATTCAAGTCTTTCTTCGATTTTGTTCTTCAAGCTCGTCAGTAGTTTACTTGTGAGATCAACACCAGAATGGACAAGTTTCTGGGCAAATCAGCGGCTGACATGTCAAAAATTAAGGCTCGCATCAAGTGTTGTCCGAGGGTTGTGGAAAGCTGTTATGCAAGCTCCTGTTGGGCATTTGAACACAGTCGCAATCGAGTACAGCGCAGCACACATTCTGTTTTATGCTGCCCGATGCTGTAAAACAGAAGCTTACGATCTTAACACGCCGCACTACAAGTACCAAAATCGGTCGCAGTTTCCGCAGTTTTACCACAATAGTTACGCAATTTTTGACAAAATCCACAGTATTCCCTCCAATTTGTGGCATTTTTACCTCGCAACCGTTTCCGAAATTTCTCCGCAAGTTTCTTGAGGGACAGACATTTCCAATTTAAGCCATGGGCAGTGCCCGATCTCAAACCACCCGGATAGAAGAGATACCGGTATGACTATGAGTGCATCGTGTATTTGTGCCACCATGCATGCTATCAAAACATCAGCAATTTGGCAAATTCAGTTCCAAGTTCGTTAACTCAACAAAAAATATAGGCGATTTTTCTCAAAACCACTGTTTTCGGGGACTTTCTGGCCGGCCTTTGTGTGAGATGCCTGGTCGGTGGGATTGATGACCTGTCCTTGATCTGTAGTGATACATGTCACCGGGGTGTATGCAGTCAACAGGCATAGTATACTGTAAATCAACGGTCCTACAGTCCATTTCAAAACTATCTCTTAGCCTGTCACCAGGAAACCCTATATATAGGGTTTGACATAACGCTACACATAAAGACCCTATATATAGGGTTAGGACCCCTAAAGAAAGGGTTTGATCAGTCCTCACAACTGGGCACACAATACACACAGTTTCACTTGGTTTTTTTTGATACTTTCACTGCATTGCCATTGATGTTAGCAGGAGCGCTCCTACGACGTGCGCGAGTGTCGCCGCATTTGCTGCTTCCGACCCACGTGTGGATCAGCTGATGCAGAAACGGCAATGGCGGGAGCGGCAGCTGCGACAGCCGCTGTTGATGCTTCGCCTTCTTCTTCAGGAGCATCCGACGCTGCTGGAACATCGACATCATCATCCTGAGTCGACACCAGGTCGCCAGGAACATTCTCATCGCCCGAGTTCGTCTCCACTAACTCAAGTTGCTCTTCCTCCATCGTGAAAAATCAAACCCTAGATATAGGGTCTAGAAAATGTTACGACAGCGCTGCACTAAAACTAACCGTACTCGAAGAAAACAGCAACAAAATGATCACGGTCTTCAGCAAGAGAACCGTACGTACATTCTACGTATGTAGGCCCAGGCGTCTAGTTGCCATAGCAGCCAAGTGGGCTCTCAAGAGAGCTCAAGATAGAACGCGCGGCTGAAAACCCTATATATAGGGTTTGACAGGCTAAGAGATAGACGCGTACCTAGGCAAAAACCGTTATGCCAGCATCTATACTACATAAAATCTGTGATCACTTTGTGCATACTTCAAAAAAAGTAATTTTTCCAAATTGGGCGTCTGTTATCCAATCGTTTAGAAAATATATGAGAGTAATTGTGGAGCGGTCCTGGGTAATATTCCGAAAACTATTCTCAAAAAGTTCCAGCCAAATTTGAAATATTTCAAAAACCCTACGCGTCTATTATAGTTTTGAAATGGACTGCAACTAAACCTTTTTCACTCCGTGAAAATTATCCGGAACTCTCCACCCCTCCACACTGCACGCTTGCCTCACATCCACAACTCCATAGTGAGAAAGTTCGTTCTTGGATACTTTGTAGAGGCTCCATTAACCTCCAGACAGCTGTTCGTTCATTGAAATTATTGAGTTTGTCGCTACTTCCGAGTTAACTCATCGTATGTTCAAGCATAAAGATGCAACCGTGACAATATCCATTTCATCCATTTCTGGTAAAGGCCAAAGGACTCACCTCTTACGTATCTCACATAGCAAAGAATGTGAACCCACCGCTCAGTGGTCGGATTTCAGTTGCCAGCACTGTAAATTCATTTTCTGATACCAATTTGGAAATGGTTCTAGTTTAATTCGGAGTGTGACAGTTTTCACTGTGTTCTTCATGCCTTTGAAAATGCTTGTGCGTGTGTGTGTGTGTGTCTGGGTGGATACCAACAGCCAGTGCATGCCGGAGTATGTGGTGTGATGTGTGCGCGTGAAAAAAAATGAAAAAAATGAAAAAAGTGGGGTATTCACTGGCCAGAAAAAGCCACTTCATAGCTGTGTGGTGTAGACCAGGCTGAATAGTGGCGGCCAATTCTTCAGCCTTGCAAGCTGTCGAATGGTGCAATCCCAGCACAAGCTGCTATGGCTTCTGCTGTAGCATCGCTATCATCGCCTCCGGCGATGGGCGTCCAATGGTGTGTGTGTGTGTGTGTGTGTGTGTGTGTAGCAGCTTGACTCCTTGATGTAGCATCGCTATCATAGCCTCCGGCGATGGGCGTCCAATAGTGCAATGGTGTGTGTGTATGTGTGTGTGTTCATGTGTAATCTTGCAGTGGCTCGTCCATCTCACAAGCACGGCCCACACCACGGGCAACACCACGGCCAACACCACGGGCAACACCACGGCCAACAGCACGGGCATGCACACAGGTCCACAGGCAATGGTGGTGAGAATTTTGCCTTTTGTATTCAATAATAATAATAAACACAATTCGCATGTAGCCCAAATCTCACATATGGCCGGGGTTGACGCATCTGTCTGCTGTTATAAGTTAGATGAAACATTCGAATAATTGCTAGTACTGTATAAGCAGAAATATTCGTCTGGAATTTAATTTCGTCTTTTTCGTCCAAGGAGCTTTTGGACTAAATTAAATGTAGGACTAATGTCGATTTGTCCAGCTTTTCTATACACTCTTATGATACATGGACGAAATTTTCAACCAGACGAAATTTTCAACCAGACGAAATTTTGAGCCTGTACAGTAGCTAGTAGTATGGGCTAGCTGGACAGATTCCGGGGACATGGGAAGATTGAGATCCAGTAAAATCAAAATTCAATTCCAGGCAGAGTCAGTACATCTGTTTGCAATATTCAGCCAAACTTTCCGATCACTGCCTGACTGTTCTGCCTCTTGCAGAGACATGTTGATCAATCTGTATTATTTTGCTAACGCAACCCTCCCAGTCCTGTTACAGGGCAAATGGTTACCAAACCCTTTTTTTAGGGTCCCTGGTCCGAGTGATGGTGGTGACCGTCAATTTTCTCTTCAGACTTTTCCCGTTTGTGTCTTTCCCTCAAACCAGTGAACACTTTTTTCTTCTCCTTTTTTTGGTGACCAAATGGACTGCTCTGAACTGCGTACTGGCTCTGTCGAATGGTGAGGCTCCTGTTTTTGGAGCCAACGGGTGCTTGACCATCGGGAATTGACGTGAACCTCTGTCTCTCTCTCGCTCTCTCTCTCTCTCTCTCTCTCTCTCTCTCTCTCTCTCTCTCTCTCTCTCTCTCTCTCTCTCTCTCTCTCTCTCTTGTTTGTGTACATGGTGACGATGTTATTAAATTTAGTTCTTTACCTTTATCCCAAATTGTGGCGTAGCTCGCACATCTGCTGTGTGGTGACCATGTACAACCTCATGGTCGATATTTTGACTGCAGTCGAACCTCATTAGGACGAACACTGATAAGACGAACTTTCCTTTAGTACGAATTAGGACCAATCCTATGGTTGGCCAGGTATCATATCAAGTCAAAAAATTATTCGTTTACGATCAACTCATTACGGCGAGCTTTCGTAAAGACAAACCACTGTCAAGCATGATTTGAACAAAATCAACGCGTAGTACGAACTTTCGGTCCCGGTGGGTACGCTGGCTTTAGCTTTTTTCCCAATAGTCGAGGCCTCTTGTACTGGCAAAACATGTTACAAGGCGGAGGACGTACCGTCAGTGTTGTGCAATGTTATTGCATGAGCTGATTGTTTAGTAACTGGTGGTGTTAGTGGCCAATATAGCACCACTTGTAGTTTCTTGGTCCTTTTTTTTTACTATAAATTTATCCTTGGCTCTCCATCCGAGCCCATATGATATGCATATCAATTTTTTGTCAGATCTGAATAAGAAGAACTCTGGACAAACAAACTTGTTCGGTCCCTTGAAGTTTGTCCTAACGAGGTTTGACTGTATTTTGGCTCTATACACTTGATTGGAGGTCTGTTCTAGTTGACTAGAACTTCAGTTGTCGGTGCCTTCAGGACTTGCCGTTGTCTCGTGCTTGCGATTTATTCATGGCATTGCATCTGTGTGTGTGTGTGTGCGCGCGCATGTGTATGTGTGTGTGCGCGCGCATGTGTATGTGTGTGTGCATGCACGTGTGTATGTGTGTGTGTTCACATGTGTGTTTATATCTACAGCAGCACCACCAGCAGCAGTACACAAGCAGGTGGTTGTGCAGCAGTTTCGGCGCGTGACCGTCGATACGTACGACAAGCACCCCACCACCGAGGCTGCCGGCAAGAAAACCTTGGCTGATGATGTCCTGGAAGGTCTGGATGTCCCCACTCACGTGCTCACAAAGGAAAGCAGCCGTGGAAATGGAGGTGGGGCCTTGCAGGCGCATCCTTTGACCGACAGCAAGACCTCCGCCACCGATGATGCGGATAGCAGCGACGGAATGTCAATCAAGAGCGCGAACCACGACCTGTTCGCAGCCAACTCTGCACCGTCGACATCAAGCGATTCCGCTTCAGACGAGCCTCTAGACCACGTTGCCGATATATACCCTCACGGAGACCGTCAAGGACCGAATGTGGCAACAACGTCTGACGCACCACCGATGTTGGTGCGCGCCGGCAACAAGGCGGCCGGAGAGCCCGAGGACATGGTTGGCGAAATATTCCCTCATGGTGACCAGCACTCTGCGAAGCATGCGCACACGCCAACGACCAAACATGGTGATCAACAGCCTGCTGCTGCCAAGCAGACACACACCCACAAGTCCCAAGCTGCCCCCAGCAGCGACAGCACCAACACTGCCCAGTCTGCATCATCTGACGATGACTCGCTCCCTGGAGAGTCGCTCTCGGACTTCATGAAGGACGTTGCCCAGTCTACGTCATCCGACGATACCGCCCAGTCTGCATCATCCGGCAACGCCGTCCAGTCTGCATCATCCGACGATACTGCCCAGTCTGCATCATCTAACGATACTGCCCAGTCTGCATCATCCAACTACGACTCTGACTCGCTCCCACATGAGTCGCTCGCTGACTTCCTTAAGGACATTGCAGCTGATGCAGCCACTGGGTCCCCACACGGAGAAGCGCATGCCACACCAACAGCATCCCCAGCTAAGAAAGCCAAGACTTCCTCCCACCACAAGACCGCAGAGCCACAAAGTGTGGTCATGGATATTTTTCCACATGGCGATCAACAATCTGCCAAGCCTGCTAAACACACCCAGAAGTCCCAAGCTCCCCCGAGCAGCAGTGTAATCACCGATACTGATTCCAAGACAGCAGAACCACAAAGTGTGGTCATGGATATTTTCCCGCATGGCGATCAACAATCTGCCCAGCCTGCTAAACACACCCAAAAGTCCCACGCTCCCCCGAGCAGCAATGCCGGAAGCGATGCTGATTCCAAGGATGATGTCCAGTCTGCATCATCCGACGATACTGCCCAGTCCGCATCATCCGACGACTCTCGTGACTCGCTCCCGGAAGAGTCGCTCGCGGACTTCACGAAGCACACTGCAGCCGAGTCCCCACCAACAGCATCCCATGTTAAGAAAGCCAAAACTTCCTCCCACCACAAGACCGCAGAGCCACAAAGTCATGTCAGTGAAATCTTCCCACATGGCGATAAACACTCCGCAAAGCCTACGAAACATACCCAGAAATCCCAAGCTCCCCCGAGCAGCAGCGTGGGAACCGATACTGATTCCAAGACCGCAGAGCCACAAAGCCATATCGGTGAAATTTTCCCACATGGAGATCAACACTCGGCCACGTCTGCTAAACATACCCGGAAATCCCAAGCTGCCCCCAGCAGCGACAGCAGCAGTGCCGTAGCCGACACTGGCTCCCTCCCGTCGGAGTCGTTCGATGACTTCCTGAAGGAAGTTGCAGCCGACAAGAAAGCTCACCACCACGCACACTCACACGGCTCTTCTTCCTCGGATCGCAAGAAGGTAGCAGCGCCGGTTGATAACCAAGGATCTGATTCGAGTGGCGACGATACGGACGATGATTCCCTCCCGTCGGAGTCGTTCAATGACTTCCTGAAGGACATTGCAGCCGACAAGAAAGCTCACCACCACGCACACTCACACGGCTCTTCTTCCTCGGATCGCAAGAAGGTAGCAGCGCCGGTTGATAACCAAGGATCTGATTCGAGTGGCGACGATACGGACGATGACTCCCTCCCGTCGGAGTCGTTCAATGACTTCCTGAAGGACATTGCAGCCGACAAGAAAGCTCACCACCACGCACACTCACACGGCTCTTCTTCCTCGGATCGCAAGAAGGTAGCAGCGCCGGTTGATAACCAAGGATCTGATTCGAGTGGCGACGATACGGACAATGGCAGTGAGGATCTTCCCGCAATGCCTCTTGACGAGCTCATTTCTGAAACTGTCTCCGGCTCCCAGGCTCAGTCATCTGCTCACGATACTTCCGGCAAGCACCCCTCCAAGAAGACGGTTCACCGGCGCAGGCGTCGCAGGCGCAGGCGTCGTCGACTCAGCGTCGATCACTTTGTCAACGACGGCCTGGCAGAGGACGACTCTCGGGTCAACAAACGCATGGTGCAGTTATCAGACGGCGGCGATGCCGACAGCAACGAAGCAAAGGCCAATGCCCAGGTGCAAGTCATCGATGGTGCCGACAGCGCACCATTGTAGACAAGTGTGTTCGGCGTTCAGCTGCCACAGACCTGTGTAAGTGTTTGTACAAAGAGAATAGCCCCCAGGGTGTGTGCAACCGCTATATATGGTGTACTGTAAAGCGAGAAACTTTCGCGGCGCGCAAAGTTTGCGTTTTCGTGAATTGGGCCGGTTCACGATGAGAAACTTTGGCGATTCTATCTCTTCATTTGGATCTGTTACTGTCTGCAATCAATGTACAGAGCAGTTTGCGGCGATTTATATTCACCAATGTGTGATGGTGGTGAAAATAGCGAAATTTAATGTCTAGCGAAAGTTTTTTCACTTTACAGTAAGTGTTTGTACAGAGAGGATAGCCCCCAGGGTGTGTGCAACCGCTATGATGTAAGTGTTTGTACAGAGAGGATAGTCCCCAGGGTGTGTGCAACCGCTATGATGTAAGTGTTTGTACAGAGAGGATAGCCCCCAGGGTGTGTGCAACCGCTATGATGTAAGTGTTTGTACAGAGAGGATAGCCCCCAGGGTGTGTGCAACCGCTATGATGTAAGTGTTTGTACAGAGAGGATAGCCCCCAGGGTGTGTGCAACCGCTATGATGTAAGTGTTTGTACAGAGAGGATAGCCCCCAGGGTGTGTGCAATCGCTATGATGTAAGTGTTTGTACAGAGAGGATCCCCCCCCCCCCAGGGTGTGTGCAACCGCTATGATGTAAGTGTTTGTACAGAGAGGATCCCCCCCCCCCCCCCCCCCAGGGTGTGTGCAACCGCTATGATGTAAGTGTTTGTACAGAGAGGATAGCCCCCAGGGTGTGTGCAACCGCTATGATGTAAGTGTTTGTACAGAGAGGATCCCCCCCCCCCCCCAGGGTGTGTGCAACCGCTATGATGTAAGTGTTTGTACAGAGAGGATCCCCCCCAGGGTGTGTGCAACCGCTATGATGTAAGTGTTTGTACAGAGAGGATAGCCCCCAGGGTGTGTGCAACCGCTATGATGTAAGTGTTTGTACAGAGAGGATCCCCCCCCCAGGGTGTGTGCAACCGCTATGATGTAAGTGTTTGTACAGAGAGGATCCCCCCCAGGGTGTGTGCAACCGCTATGATGTAAGTGTTTGTACAGAGAGGATCCCCCCCAGGGTGTGTGCAACCGCTATGATGTAAGTGTTTGTACAGAGAGGATAGCCCCCAGGGTGTGTGCAACCGCTATGATGTAAGTGTTTGTACAGAGAGGATCCCCCCCCCCCCCCCCCCCCCCCAGGGTGTGTGCAACCGCTATGATGTAAGTGTTTGTACAGAGAGGATCCCCCCCAGGGTGTGTACAACTGTTGTACTGTGAACAGGGAAACATTTGCAACATGTAAAACAGTTGTAGGTGTGATTTGCGTGCACGGACCAATTTGCACCTGGACATGTTTGCGATTGGAGGCAACTACATTACAGTCAAACCTCGTTAGGACGAACTTTCTCCATATCTATGTGTAGATGATGGGTTTGCTCTAACCTGTGGATGCTTGGTGTGTGTGTGTGTGTGTGTATGTGTGTATGTAGCATTATGGTGATATTAATGGGTGCACGCAGCTTTGTGCTACCGCTCAATCTAAGCTGGTATGTTTGATAGTGCTGTTACTGCATGCTCATCATGCTTTGCTGATGGCTACGGTTAGGCACCGGCGGATTATGCCGGCAGAAAAATTGGCAGAATTCGGTACTTTTTCTAGTAAGTTTCATGCATGTTTGGTATGTGGATAAAGATATGGAGCAGAATTCGAGGAATTGCCCGCCATAAGGTTTGTATGGTTCTGTCAATTTCCCTGCTTTTCGAGCAGAATCCGCCGGTGCCTAGCTACGGTCACGTTCTCTGCATATCACCGTGATCATGTCTACCCAAATAATACGTGTGTGCGTGCGTGTGTGGTATGTGTGCGTGCGTGTGGGGTATGTGTGCGTGTGTGTGCATGTGTGTGTGTGCACGTATGTGTGTGCATGTGTGTGCACGCGTGTGTGTGTGCAGACGTGATCATCACACAGACCACGGAACAACACGGCAGCTTTGTCCAATGGCCGCTACAACAAGCTTCTCGTGCACTACCCGACGCTGTAGAAATATATCTGCACGCACGCAACCCCTACTTATTCTCCTGTTGTCATGCCAACGTATTGTCACATCATTTAAAATCAGTCAGTAACATAACACGCTCTTTGCTCTCTTCACATCTCCTCTCTTTTCAAATTTCTGAATTTCTAGCTATTAAACCCGTCTGAATCACTAAATCTCCGCTCTCAGATTTCCCAGCTAACCCGGCCGAATCACTACCAATCTCAGTGTTCAGCCATATCGTAACTAGACTGCCCTGTATCACGACACTCAGTGACTGTGTGTGTGTTTTACTCTTGCTACACAACACAGCACGTTGCCGGTGGTACCGCGGATACGCGGACTTTTACACCGTAGCCATAGCATAGAAGCCAACATCGTGGGCCAATGCTGAGGGTGTGTTTGGTTGGTTCGATCTAGAACAGGATCGAACAGCTGGTTCACATGATATGAAGCAGCCTGATGCCAACCAAATGGTGCTCCAAAAACAGAGCACCTTCATGTGAAAATGTGCAACGCTTGGTGCATAGGCATACTGGTCACCATTGTCACTTTGTACAGTACACAACGAGTCAAACCTAAAAGACCCTGAAAGTGTATGCATGTGATCCTTCGGGACCGAAATCGATGAAAAGGTGAAACTGCTCGGCCTTGAGGCCGGAGCAAGCAGAACGTGTTCTGGCCGACCCAGAACTCTCATTTACTCTTGGCGATACCTGTTCCACACACTACGCATGTCATGAAGAGTAGATAAATACTCTTTATCTACTCTTCATAGCATGCGTGCGCTCTTCTACATGTACTGACCAGAGAAATCCAACCTCATGAATAAAATAGCGCCGGGCGGCGAGCGCTCCACAGCCCTTGCACTACACACACTGTGTTGTCACGTAGGGGTGAAACAGTCACCGTGGTTACCCTTTAAGGTTACAAACAGGTACGCGGCGGTTTAACGGGCGAGTTATCGGGTAGCCTTATAGTAACAGTTACTGTACAATGGCCCTCCACATGTCGTGCGAGGAGAACATGCCAAGTCATGCAGTTCACAAAAAGTACACTCCATCGCGACAAGCGCAGCATGCGCACTTATTTGCGCTACATGCAAAACAGTCTAAATTATCATGAGAAGCAGGATCAATCAACTAACAACACATTCAAACTGTCCGAGTACATCGAACTGTACGACCATGTACGACTGTACAAGCCAGCTAATAATACCGCACCATACCGTCGTATACGACTAACGGGTACTCGCTTGCTAACGCCTAGTAACGGATCAGCAGCTAAAACTGATGGGTACCCAGATCAGCCCTAGTTTTGTGCACTCGAACGCGGCGCTACTTTATTTATGAGCTGTCATTTCTCTGGCCAGAACTGTATTTCTTGTCACGCCGTACAGTAGAGTCGCACAACCAAGAACGCAACGTTGTTGGCTAGCCTGGGAGGTTCTTATTTTTCAGCAATATGGCTGCGTTCTGATAGCACATTCTCAGAAACAATTCGCACTGAATCCAAGTATTCCAAAAGCTACCAGAAAACCAACACTGCCGTTATGAACTTGAGGCTGTGGCGTTCTCAGCATTTCAGCGTTCCTAGCATTTCAGGCTGAACATTCTTCAGCGCGCACCTCTACTACACCTTCATATTCCTGCTCAAAGCAGTGCAGCAATGGGGAGGGGGTAGGCAGACAGTAGGCCTACAGTAGAGTGTTGGTTTCTGGCAGCTTTCGGGATACATACGACCCAGCACGAATTGTTTCTAAAGAACGTGCGATAAGAACGTTAATCCGAACGCAGCCAGATTGCTGAACAATACGAACGTCCTCCGCTAGCCCCCTTGAATCATTGCTCTGGGACGCGTCAATCTACACCATGACACTGCAGTAAGTAATGTGCCAAGGTGACCATCCCCGTCCTAGAAATATTTCAATATATCCACATCACTAGAAAGTCACACACGGTTGTAAGTCGCACAAGTTTCTTCACCCCTGAAGTTCAGCGTACACAGGTGTGGCGTACTGAAGTATATTCGGAGAAATGCAGTAATACATTAGTCATGCATACAGGCGATGCTCTCCTTCACCCTCCCCCTCCTCTCTACACACACACACACACACACACACACACACACACGCACGGAAAAGCCCTTGCCGGGAAACTCAACTTGGCAGCACAACAAGTGCTACTAGTTCTAGTGGTTAGGTTCAATTCAATACTGAATGTTCTTGTCGTCATCCTCATCATCCTCCTGTATCCTGTACATATCCGCTTTGCTGTGAGAGCCTGCCATCTCAATAGTACCATCTTTACTGTCACTGAAGTTCAAGCCCCTCTCCGGGAATATCCACGTCACCTGCATGGTACAAACACACACACACACACACACACACACACACACACACACACACACACACACACACACACGCGCGCACGCACGCACACAAGCAGACATACACACAGAAGGTCAGACTTTGCATGCTGGACTGCGCACATTTTCATCCTGCACTGGCACGTTTTGTGTACAGCAGTGCAAGCGCTGGCTTAACACCGTATTTCACTGTATATGCGCCAAAGTCGCTTCAAAGGCAGACATTTTGACAGGATGCAGAAATTAGAGAGGGGGTGCGTCAACTGTACTTTACAGTAAACAAAGACAGAGGAGAACAGAGACAACTGGCTACAGTCCATTTCAAAACTATAGACGCGTACCTAGGCAAAAACCGTTATGCCAGCATCTATACCACATAAAATCTGTGATCACTTTGTGCATAAAATTTTCCAAATTGGGCGTCTGTTATCCAATCCTTTAGAAACTATATGAGAGTAATTGTGGAGCGATCCTGAGCAATATTCCGAAAACTATTCTCAAAAAGTTCCAGCCAAATTTGAAATATTTCAAAAACCCTACGCGTCTATAGTTTTGAAATGCACTGTAGATCATAGTTGTAACGCTGTGTTTCATGCACATAGCAGAGCTAAGGCAACCCTCATCCCAAGTCAATCTGCGTCGGTTGGTCCACAACAGCAGCAACCAGGAGAAAAGTGCTCAACTAAAAAAGAGGAGCAAAATCTCAATAGCGAGAGTTCCCAGATTGCCTAGAGTGCTCAGCACCACAAGGACGGAGCAATACCACAAAGGCAGAAGAGATATGTATCTCTGAAAGGACGGTGTAGGTGTGGCACAGGCCTCACCTCGCCTTCGGGGAATCCGATATGCGTGACGCATGATCCGTGGCGTGGTGCTGTGTACCGGTGGTTGGAGTAGAGCAGTGGGTTGACAGCGTTACGTTGCTCGATCAGCTGTGCAGCAGTGGCAGCAGCAGCAGCAGCAGCAGCAGCAGCAGCAGCAGCAACAGCAGCAGCAGCAGCAGCAGCAGCAACAGCAGCAGCAGCAGCAACAGCAGCAGCAGCAGCAGCAGCAACAGCAGCAGCAGCAGCAGCAACAGCAGCAGCAGCAGCAGCAGTAACAGCAGCAGCAGCAGCAACAGCAGCAGCAGCAGCAACAGCAGCAGCAGCAGCAGCAGCAGCAGCAGCAGCAAAAAGAGGAACAGGAAGAACAGTTACTAGTATGACAGTACTACCAGCTACACTAGTTACAACAGCAGCAGCAGCAGCAGCAGCAGCAGCAAGACCACCCAACACACACACGCACATACACACACCTCCTCCTCAGACATGCCCATCGCGGAAGCGATGATAGCGAACAGCTATGTTAGACATGGCAACTTGTGCTGGGATTACACCATTCAACAGCTTGCAAGGCTGATGAATTGACCGCCACTATTTTTAGCCTGGTATCCACCACACATACACACACACACACACACACACATGCACCCCCCCCCCCCCCCACACGTACACATGGCATCCACCCCCCCCCCCCCCCCATACACGTACACATGGCATCCACCCCCCCCCCCCCCCATACTGTGCACGTACACATGGCATCCACCCCCCACCCCCACACGTACACATGGCATCCACCCCCCACCCCCACCCCCCATACACACGTACAGGGTGCCAAACCCGGTGCATTCTTCAACATGTGTACGGGTCACCATGGTCCCATTGTACGGTGCAACGAGCCCAGCCTACCCAAAAGCGCATGCACGTGATCATTTGGGAGCAAAATCGATGTTCCCGCCAGGTTTTACTGCGAAAAATTGAAACTGCTCGGTCTGCTCCGGCGCGGCATCGAGGCCGGAGCAAGCAGAACATGTTCCGGCCGACCCAGAACAGGTGCAGTCCCAACCAAACGCACTGTTCTGGTGAATCCTGTTCTAGGTTGTACCAACCAAACACACTGTTCTGGTGAATCCTGTTCTTGGTTGTACCAACCAAACACACTGTTCTGGTGAATACTGTTCTGGGTTGTACCAACCAAACACACTGTTCTGGTGAATCCTGTTCGGACTCGGCTGGAGAGCCAAGCATTAATTAAAAATTTTAAAAAGAGAGAGGACCACAAGTTTACAAGTCACCCGTTGGTTTGCACATTCCAGACGTGATGCAGCTAAGCATCGGGTCGTTGAATGTCAGTATGACATCAGTCAGTGTTGTGCTAATCGTTGCAAGCTCTGACTCACCAGCATCCTGCTGATAGTACATATAGTTAGACTTGCACAAAACGGGTAACTTGTAAACTTCTGATCCTCTCTCTTTTTTTTAGAAAAGGTAGGCCGGTAAAAGCAACGGCAGTTACCTCTTCACCCGTGGTCTCATCTCGTCCGACGGACACTAGCGCTGTCGCCGTCCGTTCCACCTAGCAGGTCACACGACACAGGTCACACGACACAGCCACCAAGACAGAGGTCACAATCACATGACACAGCGACCAAGTCGATGATGACACAGCCACCAAGACACAGCCACCAAGACCACGGCGACAGCAAGGACAATAGAGATATTCAAATTACACGGTGGCACATGCTGCCTACTACCGGTAGTATTGAAACTAGGGATGAAACGATCATCCATTTCTTCTTATCGAGTACCGTTTATTATAAACGATCGAGTTATCATAAAACGAGTATGCTGGATATGTATGACGTATCAAAATGATGCTGGTCTCCGGAATATGATAATAGTGCATGAATGACTTGTGCATACAGTAAAAACACAGTACATGTACTAGTATACATCATGTACTAGTATACATCATGTACTAGTAGTCTAGTACATGTACATGTATGTCACGAATGCTGATGCCTACAAACAGGCGCCTCAATCGACTCCCAGTGACTATCGAATCCTGCACAGCCAGTTGGTTTTCCTGGGGGGGGGGGGGGGGGGGTACACACCGGATCCCAAAGGTGCGAAGGTGACTAGAAAAAGGTGTGAATTTTGTCACCTTGGATGACTCGCAGTGCTGGGGTTGACTATGCAGAGCAGACAGTGTGACTTAGCTAGTAGTGGTACAGTACTATGCACACATACATGCACAAGTACAAGTACTGCATACTCGATAACAGCATAACGAGTAGCGATCATAGAGATAACGAGTAAGTTCCGAGTAATCGGTGTAATCGTTTCATCCCTAATTGAAACTACTTGGGAGATCACAATCTCAACACGCAGTTCACGAGAACGAGTACACACAGTTCACGACTGATTTCAGGGCTTTCCATTAAACCTCCAACCCCGTACTACACATACAGTCATCGACTACACCATGCAGAACGATGGTTCCCAAATTGTCACCCCAGGAGGCCATCATCAGGGACAGTCGTTGTGCGTGGCGGTGAAGCCGAGGAATGCTTGTGTGTAGTACGGGTCGGAGGTGTTGCTGTAAGAGAAGAAATCTGTGGGTGCACATCCAGTGCATTTGCAGATTTGCACGCTTCTCTCGCGACGGGCGTGTACATGGTGGAGTCTACACACATGGTAGTGGAAAGATGACACGGCTATATAATGGAGCTTCACAGCTGTGAAAAGGGTGCTCAACATCAAATGTGAAGCAATGACACACAAGTCATCGAGCAATAGACAGCCGAGAAATTCATTGGTACTCGGAGTTTCGTGCAAAAGCACTCATAAGACAACTTCATAATCTGAATCAAAGAGTAGTAAATGTTAATCCCCGTACTATATCCTCCACCCGTCACCACAATGTGCTCTTAGCTGAATATTTTATTACTACCCCCTGATCTGAATTATGAAGTTGTCCGTGAGTGCTTTTGCACGAAACTCAGAGCAAACCACGAATTTTTCGGCTATCCATTGCTGGATGACTTGTGCATACATGAAGGACATAATTATACAGCTGTGCAGTAGTACAGTAGTGCAGTACCTGTCGAGGTAAGAAATGATCACAGGTGATGTCGATGTGGATCAGCTGACTTTCTCTGTACAGCCAACATAAAAAGATACAGAAACGCGCACATACATACATACACACGCACACGCACACACACACACACACACACAGTATGAACAGTTGTGTCAGGTGAAGTCTGACCCAAAGTACAAAGTTAGCATCCTGAACTAGTTCCCATTACAGTACAATATACACAAGAGTACACAACCCCCCCGAGTGTGCAACGCCGATCCAGCTCTGCATAGGGTCTTGGTCGAGCGGAATCGGATCTTCTGATGTCATGCGTACAATCCACACCAGGGCAAGGCCGGTCTCGAGGCAGGACACCGTTGTTTTTGATCCGAGAGTACCCGCGACTCCCCGGGTTTCCCTCAGATGTGCACGGTATTATGACGCAAAGATCCAATTACGCTCGGCCAAGACACTATGCAGAGCTGGATCAGGCGTTGCACACTCTGGGGGGGGGGTTATGTACTCTTGATATACATTGTGACCACAATAATAGAAAAGCCGACAGGATCACTTTTCTAAATTATTGTGCATGTGGAGACACAGCAGTACCAGTATTCGTAGTACAGTAAAACCTGGCCTAATCGGATGCCCCTTGGCGCAGCGGAAACTGTCCTCATACCGGTATGACAGGATTCCGCGGTTTGATCCAGGGACGCAGGTTGGATCCACAGCACTCTGGGTGCATGAATAATGTGTCCGGTCAATACAGGATTCCGCTTGGTACAAGGTGTGGCAAAAACAGGTTTTACTGTCAGGGGCCGTCCGGGGTTAACTATTGTTTTTGAGAAACGAAAAGTTTTAGTATTCGTTTCTGCAGGTAAAATGCAGTCCAACGAAATATTGATTTCAATCTTCTTCACCCAGACGTAACTTGGCATTCTCCATGTACATTCAATATTTATATTTTCAAAACGAAACTCCTAAAACCCACCCACCCCCAAACGAAAACATTTCGTTTTGAAAATACTATTGGTAACCTCCAACTTAGGGTATTTCCCTGTATTACTGTGATTTTTTTCATTTGTTGAAGGGTGTGATGGCGTGTGCAAATGTGAGGTGGCAAATACTGTATAGCAGGAAATTTTCGGACGGAAATATTTTCGGACAAAGCCGAATTTCGACCTAAGTCCTTTCGTACGGATTTTATTTTCGTACAGTGCTGCATGCTAAATGCACGTGTTCGCAAACAGTACGCATGTATAATATTGTATTGTGTACATAATTTCACATGAAACAAATTTTAGTACAGAATTTATTTTAGTACAAAAGAGGCCATGTACGAAATTGTACGAAAATAAATTCCTACAAAAGAGAAAGACCAAGGAACTACAAGTTACGCTATATTGTCCACTAACACCACCAGTTACTAAACAATCAGCTCATGCGACAATTCCGTCCGAAATTTTCCTGCTATGCATAAGTAAGATGCTGTCAACCAGTGGGTCCATTGTTATTAGGCATCATGCCTGTTTTGATTTCCACTATAAATATAGTATACCACAACAACAACAACAACAACAACAACAACAACAACAACAACATATCTCTTATTGGCGATGGTGCCATCGTGAGAATAAAGAATTCAACAAATACCCACTTTGGGTTGCATTTCACCAAATACAATGTACAGTCAAAACATGATAAGACATACTGGTACCCACAAGGAAAACGAAAAAAGTACTTCCTACCCAAAATACTTACTACACCCACGCTGCAATCAAGTGTGACAATAGGGCTTGAAAGTGATGACGTCAAAACGGCCAGGGAGTAGTAAGTTGACAGCAGATTTCTATTTTTGGATCCACTAAGGTGTGACTTTGCTATTGCCTAAGTATGTGGGTGCATAGCAACCCACTCATGTCGCATGCAGGTGTGACTTTTATTTCGCCACCAGTTGTAACCCCGCCCCCAGTAGCCAAATCAGTCAGTTTCACTGGCTACATCACCATGCTGTGGGTAAGACCGCTTGAAATGTGCTTGGATCCATACAAAAACTGGATCCAAGTGGATCCAGTTTTTGAATTTTTGAAATTGTTGCTATGCTGTGACGTAGCACTTTCAAGCCCTATTCGTTTCGTCAACTGCAAACATTACGTACTAGACAGCAGTACAGAGGCAGTGCGCCTTAACCTGCAGTAGTGCTGAAATGCCCGTAATGGGCAGAGCGTAGTACGTACGTTGTCTGATGATTGGGTTTTGCCATGAAACTCTGAGTAACAACGAACAGAAGTGAGGGAGGTAGGCTCCTCCGACACAAAGCACTCATTTTCAATTCACAAAAGTCATTTGCAGTGAGTTTTACTGACCGGTTTCATACTTTTCATACAAGTGGGCCGCCAAAACGCCAGGGGGTCCAAATTTGGACACTGCCAAAACTTACAATACATACATTAGTAGTAGAGTACAACATTTGCATGCCTGCATGTTTACGTTTATCACAATACGTACACTAGTACTATAAGTACAACATATTGCATGCCTACACACCAACATTGCAATTCTTGCCTGTTACACCGTAGATTCAATATCTACGCTGTAGGATAGATTCCCATTGCTCTTGGGGCCCCTGGCGTTTTGGCGGCCCACTTGTACAATTACAGTTCGCCCGCTCTTGCATAAATTGTGTTATTTTGTCATTTGTCTATCACTCTGATGATTACTCTTTGAAGTATGAAACCGGTCAGTAAAACTCACTGCAAATGACTTTTGTGAATTGAAAATGAGTGCTTTGTGTCGGAGGAGCCTACCTCCCTCAATTGCTTTCTTTTGTGTTCCTCTTGTTTACTAGACAATAGTATGTCTTACACCGTGTACGTACTAAGAGGTTAGGACTACACGTTACAGTTAGGGCTGAGTCGGGTAGCATTTTCTTCCGGTATCGGGTTCGGGCAGTTTTACACGGGTAGCACGGGTACCCGATCGGGTAATGTTTCCATGGTAACACCACAATGCACCCCTTCCCTTACACACTGGGTAGACATGCGGAGTACTACATGAATTTGTACACGTGCAGCTGTACATGATGTCATCTGCGACTTCGGGTTTTCGGGTACTATTCTGTATCCGTCTACCCGAGGTCCTCACGGGTAGCACGGGTACCCGATCGGGTAATGTTTCCATGATAACACCACAATGCACCCCTTCTCGTACACACTGGGTAGACATGCGGAGTCCTACATGAATTTGTACACGCGCACTGTACATGATGTCATCTGCGACTTCGGGTTTTCGGGTACTATTCTGTATCCGTCTACCCGAGGTCCTCACGGGTAGCACGGGTACCCGACTACCCGTGCACACCACTAGTTAGAGTACATGTAGCTCCAGCCCTACAAGTCCTCTTACCCATAGGTCATGTACTGGCCAGAGCGGGTATCCTCTTCAGTTACACTGATGTCATACACCTTACACACGGTGGTGGCAAGGGATTGTACGTATGTCTCCGTCGTGAACGAAGAGAGTGCGTGACGACCTAACAACACACATACGTAGACACACGTGCACACACGTACGCATGCATGCACACACGTACGCACACACGCATACACACACCACACACACACACACACACACACACACACACACACACACACACACACACACACACACACACACACACACACACATATACACATGCACACACACATATACACATATACACATATACACATGCACACACACACACACACACACACACACACACACACACACACACACACACACACACACACACACACACACACACACACACACACACACACACACACACACACACACACACACACACACACACACACACACACACACACACACACACACACACACACACACACATAATTATACAGTGGCAACAGGAAGAAGATGAATACGAAGACACAATCATAGAGATTAGGATAAGGGCAACACGGCACACTTCGTACGCACACCGGTGTGAATGAGTGACCGACACTTTGTGTCGTCTTTCCTAGCAGTCTAACTGTTCTCCTTTTGTTGGTGTTTCGGAAACTCGGAGCTCGGAACTCAGATTTCTAGCTCCCGCTCTTGCCCTCAGTTTGTGCATCTTTTTGGTGAAAGTTAGTGATGGTGAGCGAACGTTCTTTGCCAGAATTTTGCAGCTCAGAGAGCGTTGTGTGGAAACTGGACAGGCATGTATGTTGAGTCAACATTTGCCATCATCCCAGACACACGGAAACAAGGTGGAACGGGTACGTGGCACGAAGACATTTTATCGGAGAGACGTAGAGAAAGACGAACCAAACGACTACATGATGGAAGAGAGAGAGAGAGAGAGAGAGAGAGAGAGAGAGAGAGAGAGAGAGAGAGAGAGAGAGAGAGAGAGAGAGAGAGAGAGAGAGAGAGAAAGAGAGAGAGAGAGAACGAGTGCAAGATAAAGGGCCTGGGTAGCTATGGCAAATACGGGCACGCAAGTAGCTACCCAGGCCAACGGAACAAAAGGTGAGTAGGTGAGGGTAAGTACGGGGTGCATGCAGCATTACAGGTCAGCTGGAGAAGGTTGTAGAATGCACGGGAGGAGATACCTAACAATAACTAGAAATGCACAACGTACCTGCAAACACAGCCTTTGCCACAACGTCCATCTTCTCCACGTCCAATCTCTTCCTGAATAAGTGGACACACAGATACACACATACAGGTAAGTACACTCATCAGTCACGTGTCTGTCTGCTACTACACGTACTACTACATGCTGCTTTGCTGATGATGATTTTTTTTTTTTTTTTTAAATCCGGTCGCACGTCCAGCGGCCCCCGGGGCGCTGGCCATGCAGCCGTGAGTAAGCGGTAGATCTACACACATTCATTGAATGCGCTGCAGCGCGCTGGTCGCAGCGGATCAACATGTGCGCTGCCTGAAACGTTCTGTACGGCCATTCGACTGGATTTCCATGTCCACGACAGTACATTAACAGTGTGCTCTCCCATACTCAACAGCACATTCTGAAGAGGACATGAAAAATTGTCGAAACGTCAACATTGATCAGTATGAAGTCTTGCACCGGTTCTGCGGTTCGCCTATCTACTGTTTCGCCAATAGAATTGTATGATATCATTAGAAAGCCAGGCCGAATCAGTGTTGCCACTCCAAACCTGCTTGGTTTACTGCACAAAACCCAGCATCCAGCCAGGTTCACACCTCGAAACCAGAGTTCGACACGAAATCCCCCTACATGTACTAACTTGGAGACGTGATACCAGCAGTTCTTGTAGTTGTCCAAGCTGTAGGAGTTGTATGAGGGAACGACACGGATCGTGTGTCGGACGGTTCGGCTCGTAGCTGAACGTGCTGTGGAAAACTCATCCGGAATACAGGCAGCGGCAAGGATTCTGCAAGACAAGAAGAAGAAAAACACTGCACTAGTTACAGTAGACATTCGTACATGTACATGTAGATCTACCGATTTTGCAATAGGCCTTGAAAGTGAGGATGTATGAAGTCAATAAATTACGACTTCTGGGTAAAGTAAATGGATCCACTCTGACTACTGTATCATGTGTATGGTTAGCCGGCTGTATAGCGAAGTACAGTCGCTTATCCGGTCCTCCTATATCCGGATCCCTCGCCATCCGGAAGAAAATAGTTGGTTACCGATTTACAGCATATGCCATGCATACATACAGTATGTGTGTTCGATTATCCGGTTCCCTCGCCTATCCGGATATTTTAGTGGGAACGGATGTGCGCGGTTATGCGAGGTCTGACTGTACATTGTATATTGTATAGTAGTATACGGTGGGTAGTGGGTATCGTAATTCCCCGATTATAAGTCGCACCCCTATTTTCAGGTTTGAGCAATATTGATTTGATATATTGACTTCAGTAGTAAGTCCTCTCTTGTCACATGCTGATGTGATTGTTCTCTACCAAGTGGTGGGAGTCTGACCAGGAGTGCCCAGTCCAGTGACCACCAGTGGCAAAGGCACAGCCAGGGTAGGGTGCATTTGATGTGGCTCACGGCTACTGTATTCCCCCGAATATAAGTCGCACCTTGTTACACTAAAATTCAGGGGAAAAAAACAGGGGGTGCGACTTACGGTCGAACTACTGAAGCGTGAATATATTGAACCAATATTGCTCAAACTTGAAAATGGGGGTGCGACTTATAATCGAGTGTGACTTATAATCGGGGAAACGGTATCTAGCTTCTGCATGCCAGGTATCAGCTTGCAGTACTGACACCACTGTTTTGCGACAAGATAGGCAGATTCACCTGGTACCCGGGCAAGCCATGAAACAGGCAAAGACAGGGACACCACTGTTTTGTGACAAGATAGGCAGATTCACCTGGTACCCGGGCAAGTCATGAAACAGGCAAAGACAGGGACACCACTGTTTTGTGACAAGATAGGCAGATTCACCTGGTACCCGGGCAAGTCATGAAACAGGCAAAGACAGGGGTGCTGGGTTCGAATCCCGCTCGTGGATCCTTCTTTTGCAACACCATACACTACAGAAAGCATACACAGAACCAAGAGAGCACCGACAAGCTGACCTCATCTGGAAGTTGGACATGCAGTACATGTTCATCGGGTAGATGATGTCTTGAACTACAGTATCTGCAACACACAATACAAAACAATACAAACAATACATACTTGTACAATACTCAAATCTGTGGACAGCAACTATATACAACACATACACGACACACAACAAAACTTTCAAGAGACCATAAACAATAGTATGCGACCGTGATCTCTTTTCTATGGGCGAGATGCGAGGCGTGCTGACTTCATTACAAAAAAATCATGGTACAATGTATCAAACACCACACTGCCGGAAATCAAACACCACACTTTACCTGTGATAAGAAACCAACTTTCGTACGGAACTGCAGTTCATGCAACCAAAATGTTGAAATCGCGTCTATCCTTGAACGAATCAAGCAAAAAACGGATGTGCTAGTACGAGAGAGTGTGGGTTTAACTTCAAGTCCATGAGTACAGGGTGTGATGCAGGCAGACGCAACGAAAGTAGGGCGTTGCACACTGCATGCTCTTGTTTATGGACTCATGATGCAACACATACAACACTGGTTGCGCTATGCAGAGCTCACTGACTTGTCAGTTTGAGCACTCTGGCAAGGTACGCTCTTGCGCTATGCAGAGCTCACTGACTTGTCAGTTTGAGCACTCTGGCAAGGTACGCTCTTGCGCTATGCAGAGCTCACTGACTTGTCAGTTTGAGCACTCTGGCAAGGTACGCTCTTGCGCTATGCAGAGCTCACTGACTTGTCAGTTTGAGCACTCTGGCAAGGTACGCTCTTGCGCTATGCAGAGCTCACTGACTTGTCAGTTTGAGCACTCTGGCAAGGTACGCTCTTGCGCTATGCAGAGCTCACTGACTTGTCAGTTTGAGCACTCTGGCAAGGTACGCTCTTGCGCTATGCAGAGCTCACTGACTTGTCAGTTTGAGCACTCTGGCAAGGTAGGCTCTTGCGCTATGCAGAGCTCACTGACTTGTCAGTTTGAGCACTCTGGCAAGGTACGCTCTTGCGCTATGCAGAGCTCACTGACTTGTCAGTTTGAGCACTCTGGCAAGGTTCGCTCTTGCGCTATGCAGAGCTCACTGACTTGTCAGTTTGAGCACTCTGGCAAGGTACGCTCGGGCCTGGTTTAAATCTGGCTTTGGAAAATCTATTTTTCATTGCTATCGGGTTCGGCCTCATTTCCTCGGTGCCGCGCTGATGAGTCCACAAAGGACGAAATAGTTCTGTCCGCAGATTGAGTACAACTAAGAGCACATAGACCAGCGTGCGCACAGTTCAGACGGTGTCAGTGAAAGCGTACTTCGCCACTCCCAGCATTCTCGACGCCAATGTACGGTAAAAGCTCACGTCACAGATCATTTGATGCAGCACAACGCAAAACAGTGGCCACAAGAAATCCTATTAGGTTCTTTCTCTTACCTTCGGTTACCTTGCGTGCAATGGTGACCTCAGCAACGTTGAAGATGGCGCTGACGCCGGACTCCGTGCGGGTGGCGAATGCCACGTGTTGGAGCTCACTACCTTGGGACTTCTCGCTGTAGGCTCTCTATAAGCAGGAGTACGGACAGCACCATGAACAACACCATGAACAATAACAACCACAGCAGCAACAGCAACAGCAACAGCAGCAGCAGCAGCAGCAGCAACAACAACAACAACAACAACAACAACAACAACAACAACAACAACAATCCCTTATTGGCGATGGTGCCATCGTGAGAATAAAGAATTCAAACAAAAATTCAAAATTCAAAACAACAACAACAAAAACAACCAACCACGACGACGACGACGACAACAACAACAGCAGCAGCAGCAGCAACATTCGAAACAACAACATGACAAACAAACACATACACACTTATCATTTAAACTTCATAAAGGACACAACAGATACCCAAGTGGCTTGGTACAGGAGATTCGGGTACGACATGAACAATGTTTTTTTCAGGGACGGCAACAAACGTTTGTGACAACCCCCAGTTAGAAGTCTTGTTCAGGATTCTGGAGTTTGAATTCGAGGCTTGAAAGCGGTTTCACCGTGGGTCTAATTCCACCGGCACATCCAGTAGAGTAATGATAAGTCACTGCAAGAGTACATGAGATCCAGAGTGTGCAGCTTGGGGCCTTTTCTGATATGGGTGTCTGTCACGGCGGAATTCCGCGATTACATCATATTTGGCGCAGATCTGAGGCGGGAAATGGCGTAGTGCGTACAACTGAGCTGCAGTTGTGCAGGACGAGACCTGCTTGAATCCTGCTTGTGCGCATGCACTACATCACTAAAACGATGTAATCACGGAATTCCGCCGTGACAGCAACTCATCCGAGCTGCACACTCTGGTCTTCACGTACTCTTGGTCACTGGCACATCCAGTAGAGTGATGATAACCCTCAAGTCAAATTTATATGTAGTTAATTCCCTGCCGGGAAACACTTTGCAATGCGTCGACTGACGTATGAATTGGGCTTTGTGGAGTGTACGTACCTTCAGTGCAGCCTCCACGCTGGGTTTAGAAAGCGTCTTGATCTTTCTCATCTCCTTCAGCTCCAGCGCGGCATCAGATTGGCTACCACTGGAGGTGTGGGAGTTGACACATGCAGACACAAAACATACAAAGATGCGCACCACAAACACAAACACAAACACACATAACTGTTATACACATGCAAAGGTTGGTCCAAACAGCAGCACAGATGGACAAATGGGTAAACAGCAAACGACCACAAACACACATAGAGGAACAGGCAGACAAATAGGCAGGCCACCAAAAACAAACAGACAGACATCACAGACATCACAGGCAGACATTACAGACAACAGTAGTAGATAGCCGAACAGCACAACAGGAAGAAACTGATACCGATAACCGTTGACGTTTCAACCATAGAGGTTTTCTTCAGAATGATGTGCAGACAGACAGACAGACAGATAGACACACACAGACACTGAACTCCACTGCAGTTTGCTTTTTTAACGTTAGGACGAACTGTTAACGTTTCAACCATAGAGGTTTATTTCAGAATGATGTACAGACAGACAGACACACACACACACGCACACACACACACACTGAACTCCGCTGCAGTATGCTTCTTTTTAAACGGTATGACGCATCTCCATCTCAAACACTCCTCCACCACAGTCTCTCAGCTGCACTGAATGCAATAAATTATCAAAACTTCACCCAGTGGTCAGCATCAGGGCAAGAAAAAGGCAGTGCAGGCAAATACAAAATATCAATACCACGCAGCCAGAGGAACATTCTAGAATTCACACCTCACATACAGTGCTGTCGGGCGCCAAAGAACAGAGTGCCGAAGAACGGCCAGGCCAGGATTTCACCAAGCACAGCATACCAATGTACACACGGTGACTCGACTGTGCACACAGACTGTAATATATGAACATAAGAATGATCTAGGCTAGGTAAGAGGCTGATCCCCAAATTCTTCGGTGCCCGACAGTACTGTAATTCACACAATTGATCACAGAACTGCAGTTGTGCTAGGTGTGACTTGTACCTACCAACCACCCCGATTTGGCCAGGACCGTTGCGATATCGCAGCGTGGCACACCCAAAAGTGCATTCGTCGCATGCCTCACCGCTACATTTGTATACATTTTCATACCTAGGTATGGCATTGTCCCGATCTCAGGTTTTCACAGGTTTGGCCAGGACCGTTGCGATATCGCAGGGTGGTACAGTGGTCCCTCTATAATCCGGCACCATTTGTGCCACGGAAATCTGCTGGATTAGGGAGGGTGCTGGATTATCTGATTTACTGCTGCAATGTGCATGAAGAGGACATTTTGGCTACTGAAAATTGTGCTGGTTTATCGAGGGTGCTGGTTTATAAAGTGCTGGATTAGAGAGGGTGCTGGTTTATAAAGTGCTGGATTAGAGAGGGACGACAGTAACAGGCACCCAAAAGTGCATTTGTCGCATGCCTCACAGCTTCATTTGTATACATTTTCATACCTAGGGTCCTAGGTATGTCATTGTCCCGATCTCAGGTTTTCACAGGTTGGCAGGTACGCTGTTTACAGACAACTGTGGTGGATTTAGAATCCGGTCGGATGCTGAGTGCAGTGGTATTTTCAACGCTATGGAACTTGTGTGAGTTGCAGTGACATTTGAGACTGGGTCGTACGCCAATACTGTAAAACATGTTATTTTCGGTGTAACTTTAATTTCGGTGATTTCGGTGGAAAAAACCAGGCACCAAAATTTAAATTACACCTAAAAGGCACTAGAGTATGCACTGTATGTGAAGGGAATGCTGGTCACCTAATTCTACATTACACCTGAAACCTGGCAGGTTCCTGGCACCGAAATTTTAATACACCTAAATTTACATGGTTTACAGTAGGGCTCAAACGGTCACGGTTTTACCCCTGACGGTTAACTGCTAAGCTAACGGTCGGTTAACCGGTTATAACCTATAAGCCACGGCAATCCTGCGGACTCTTTTTTAACCGTATGTTTGACTATACTCATTCAAAAAATGTACCCTATTCAGTACAACGCACACTTGTACATTCTCTTGCATGCTCATTCATACATACTCTCACACGAAGAGACCAGATATGACCGAGTTGACAGCCAAGAAATTGCGTACGCGTGCCACAGCCCGCGAAAGTACACACTTTGCAACGACCTGATACTTAAAAAATAAACTGAAAAGTTACTGCGTAACCGTTATCTTTATCGGTTAACCGTTAATTCTTCGTAACCGGTCTGCAACCGGTTAATCGGACTAATCGTTTGAGCCCTAGTTTACAGTACATGCCACTGGTATGGATTTGTTACCAATAGCGGACGTGAGGTGTGAATTCTAGAATGTTCCTCTGTATTTGTATCTGGCGTCTGCCTGCTCTTCCTCACTGATGCCTGAGGATGCTGACTGGGTGAAGTGTTGACAATTTATTGTATTCAGTGCGGCTGAGAGATTGCGGAGGAGTGTTTGGGGAGATGTTATCAAAAGGACGTCAAAAGATCACATGTTCTTACTGAATCAAGCGGACAGGAGTAATTCATTAAAAAAAGCATTGTTCGTGACGAGGTAAGGGAGTTTCTGTCTTCAGAAGTGGCGATACACCGCCTTCATTCCATAGCTTGCCTGCAACACGCCTAATATGTTTTGTATCAGCACAACCGTTTTTGCTTGATTTGTTCAAGCATCGACGTGATTTCAACATTTTGGGTACATGAACTGCAGTTCTGTATGAAAGTTGGTTCAAGCCACAGGTAAAGACAAGTGTGGTGTTTGATTTCCTGCAGTGTGCAGAGTACAGCTGTGTGATGACTGCAATCAAGAGTCTATAACCCCAAGAGTGTGCAACTCGGGACTGGCTGCTGCAGGCTCACTGCGCGGCGGAATTCCAACATTACGTCATGCCGCTGAGGCACAGAGGACAAAACTCTGCATTCCGATCCGCGGCCACGGTGCTTGGTATCAGGGAGTAGTACAAGCGCAACGAATGTGTACGTCATTTTTGACGTAAGGTTGGAATTCGTGTCTGCGTATGTGCTTGCGTGTGTGCATGCTTGGAGACACACACACAGGTGCATGAATGTGCCTGCCGGTGTGTTTGCACACGAGTGTGCCTTCGTGTGTCCACGCAGGTGATTATGGTGCACAAAAAAGAAAACACCCATACAAAAAGTTGAAAAAACGGAATTCGCTCTGACAGAGCCGGAGAGAGACGTACCGAAACGCAAATCCATTGTACTCCAAAGCCAGTAGCAGCTTGCGCGTGGGTACGTACATTGACCTCTCAAGGGCACGTCTCCATGTTATACCACCCATTCTAGATCAAATAAACGCCCCTTGGGTGATGCTTCACAGGATATCTCTCTCCTGACTGCTGACAATAATTATACAGAGCCCTTGACCTTCAGGGATTCGAGTTTCTACTGGATCTCTCCTCAGGCAGCACACATGTTCCCTGGTTATTTATTATTCGTTGATATTGCAATGCTACTATTGCAAGATACCATTGTGAATACCAGATATACGTATTCCGAAGGCAACAGCTACCTACTACAATGTAGTATTTCACCACGCGATGACCATAGCCTTCACCAAAAAAAGTGTTTCGAAATTAAAATTATTTTGCACCAAAGTCGAAATTCGAATTAATTAATGAAAATCCGACGCCATTTCCGGTTGCCAAGGCGAAGTAAGGACGGTACGGTAGCTTCTGACTTTTTGCCTCTGCCGCAGAGTCTGCGCTAGCATGCACTGTTCTCTAGTCTAGCTAGCTAGTTCTGGCGCTTCTGTAACATTTCAAAAAGGTAAAAGAGTTGTTTGTGGGGAGATTCAGAGTTAGTTTTCGTAGCTTTTCTTCTGGACCATCCCCTTCTCCTCAGTGTGATTGTGGATAGCTGTGCTGCTGTACCTTCTGTTTTTATCCATCGTCATGCAATCACGGAAGAGACGCTGGGACGATAGGTCAGTTTGTAAAGTCGCTGCTGTTCGCACGATGTACCTATTTTGGCAATTCAAAATATTTTATTATTGATATACTTGCCAATCATCTCAACCAGCGGACAACTCTGTTTGGTCTATTGTGGACTCAGCAGCTCAATACAAAGAAATAAAGCCGAACCTGGCAAAAAAGGCAACAGAACGTAGCAAAGTCGAAGTCGAGATCATGATCAGGCTCTTGTGTTGCTCCTGTGGCTGGACTGTGTGGCTTCAATAGTAATTATTATAATTATTAGCCAACCAGTGAGCTTCGTGCACCCCTCGTCCTTGTAAAATGCGTGGGCTTGATTGTTCTTGTGCTTGGGCATGACTTTGTCTGTATATGGCTTGTGCTACGATCTTGTCGCCTGTACTGTTCCCAAACACCTTACAGTGACTCGGACGAAGAAGCAGTTGAACCTGACTCTTCGAATCAGGTAAAATTCACCCTTGTGCTTCTACTAATAGTACTTGCCTGTTTGTTTGTTTTTGCGTTTGCATGTGCTGCTCACGTGTGCCTGTACTAGTATTGACCCCTGATTGAGCAGTGTTCTGCGTCTCTCTCACTCTCACACTCACACTCACACTCCTCTCTACCTTATGTGTCTGTACTGAGGTTACAATGGATGGGATACCGTATTATCTCTAATATAAGCACAGTCTCCAATAATAGCATGTCTCCAATAATAGAACACCTTGGGGCGGCATTCAAAAAATAAAGTGCTCAGTCTCCGTTATAAGCACACTGTGTAAATTCATTATCTGTACCGGCGAAAAAAAACCCTGAAATGTGTGTGTCTGACATGAACTTGGCATGGCAACATGCCTCTGAAATGAGGTTGAAATAACAATGGAACAATCTCCAATAAAGGAACGTCTCCATTAATAGCACGGGGCGGAGGTGCATTGAAAACATAAAGGACCGTGCTTATATTAGAGATAATACGGTATGTGATAGGGGTCATACATGTATGGTTGTGTATTATTCTAGGTCATCTCTGGACAGTTAGCTACATTGTACATTGTACATTGTACATTGTACATTGTACTAGTATTTTGAGCTTGTTGGGTCTCCTCAGCGGAGCTCAGAATGTAGTTTTCAATGTTCAAGTTGATCACAACTGTGTGAAGTTATTCTTGGGTGAACGCCAGTCCTACTGGGTGGAATTGTGGGTGCGTGGGTGATTGGGTGGGGGCACATGTGTGGGTGTCAGTACGTGTGTGTGTGTGTGGGGGGGGGGGGGCATGCATATCGTGAGGCGATTCTGCACCCATGCATGCTGGGGACATGTTAGGGCAGCGGTGATCAGATGTGATGCCAGATGGCGGTACACTGACTTATACACAATACGCCTACAGGTGGTCACCCGACTTCTTTCGGCTCAAGTCAGTGAAGAGTTTTACTTTTTAACATAATCTTTCCGTGCAACTCTGCATTAAGTTTTCAAGAGAAAAAAGAATCACCAGTCTGCTCTCGAGTAGTGTTCACATCTTGGTCATGTGACCTAGTTTGTGTAGAAAGTGATCATGACATGTACTGCACAGGCAGAACATTTTGCCGGTCAATAATTTCGTCCAACTCCAAAGAAAGGGAGTTCGTTCGGTTGAAAATTCAGTCCATGGACCATAAGAGTGTATTGAAAAGCTGGACAAATCGACATTTGCCCGGCCTTTAATTTAGTCCCAAAGCTCCTTGGACGAAAAAGACGAAATTAAACTCCAGATGAATATTTCTGCTTATACAGTAGACGGTGCAGCCCACATGGCCACCGACATCATGTGACCCATAGATGCAGTCATGTGCCATGTGATCATATGATACGACTGATGTAGACGTGAAGCCACTCTATTCGTTGAGAGTGCTGGCCAGGCAACCGGGGTGCTAAAATGCTCTAAAATGCTACAGTGAAACCTGTCTAAGCCGACCGCGCAAGGGACCTTCCAATTGTGGCCTCTCTGAGCAGATGGTCGCCTTATCCAGGGTTATTTGACTGTAAACAACTTCCCTTGTTCCTACAGTCCATTTCAAAACTATAGACGCGTACCTAGGCAAAAACCTTTATGCCAGCATCTATACCACATAAAATCTGTGATCACTTTGTGCATAAATTTTTCCAAATTGGGCGTCTGTTATACAATCGTTTAGAAACTATATGAGAGTAATTGTGGAGCGGTCCTGAGCAATATTCCGAAAACTATTCTCAAAAAGTTCCAGCCAAATTTGAAATATTTCAAAAACCCTACGCGTCTATAGTTTTGAAATGGACTGTAGTTGCCGTGGTCCTCTAGGGCAGGTGGTTGCCTTGACAAGTTTGACTGTAGTTCTTTGCAGCCGTGTTCACGTATGTCATTGTATGAGAAGTCATGACACTGGTCCCCAGGTTGACTCCTTTTTTACAAGCAGACAGCAAGCACTAACTCTCCTGTTCTGTTTTGTCTTTTCCGCCTTACCACTCCAGCCATCCTCTAAGAGACGATTTACTGGTAAGGATTGATTCTGCTTATGTGTGTGTGTGTGTGTATGCGCACGCGCGCACACACTTATGTGTGAGCTTGTGTGTGCGTGCGTGTGTGTGCACATGCTCATGTGTGAGCTTGTTTTTCTGTGTGTCTGTATGTATGTGTGTGCGTGCGTGTGTGTGTGTGTGTGTTTTGCTTGGTTGTTTTGTAGCCATGTGCGCGTGTCCGCACACACACACACACACACACACACACACACACACGCGCGCGCGCGCGCCCGCACGCACTCACACACACACACACACACACACACGGACACACACAAACACATGTGCGTATGTGCACTTTCTCTATCCCTCTCTCCCTCTATCATTGTCCATTACGAGAAAACTGTTGCACCAATTTCCTTGAGAGTATGGAAGGACAAGGGAATCAAAAAAGAAAGACTGCATTATGTACTATATTCCACTGATGATCGTGACATGAAAATCGATTATGGAAAAGGTGACGGCAGAGTTGGTTCTTTAGATTGCTTTATTAAAATTGTTGTCTCCGCGATGTTTATTCATGCCTTATGCACTAGTATTCACTCCTTGCCTTTCCCAATGTTGTTCATGCCAGGTCTCGCGCAGACATTGTTTGTGCCATTCAGGTGGGTGGCCAAGCAGCTATCGTCCCTGTTTACCGGTAATGAGCAAGACTCCAGCGATCCTCGATCGTCGGCCATTGTCGGCACAGCTGTAGCGCCACTGCTGCTGCCGCCGTCTGTTGTTCTCAGCGGTGAAGAGACCACCGGCAGTGCTGGTGGTGCTGGTACTGGTGCTCGCACTGCATCCACAGGCACCCATGTAAGTCATCTTCACCAAGGGTGGTGCAGTACATGTATAGTGAGACCTGTGACTAACGACCACCCCTTGAGGCCCAGAGAAAGCGGTCTTTTGCGACGACCCCTCTGAATGTCCAATATCTACACGTTAATTTCGTTCTTGGATGGAGAGCCGAGGATGAATTTATAGAACGGAAAGAGGAGGGTTGTTTAGTAACTGGTGGTGTTAGTGGACATTATAGCGCAACTTGTAGTTCCTTGGTCCTTTTTTTCCTATAAATTAATTTCGTTGTTTGTAGTTTGCTGCTGCCACTGCGTTGTTGGTAATGGGCCGTGTGTTTCTTTCCTGTTCCAGCACTCCTCCGCCTCGCAGGGACTATTCTCTGGTGTCCGACGACATCACCGCTACCCACAGCTACACGCCGCCAATAGCGCTGCCGCCACTGCTGCTGCTGTTCACGCCATGAGCTCGCCAAACGGCCCTGCCGTACCGCCGTTTCACTTCTCCCCGTCGCCAGTTGGCCGCGGACGGGGCACAGCGCTCTCCTCTCACCTGACCAATGCAGCAGCGGCAAACCGTCTTCCCTCGTTCAGTGGTACAAGCACTCCAACTGCTGCCATGTCATCAGCTCAAGCCATGGCGCCCGCTGCAGCTTCACAGCCAACGGAACAGCATGCCAGTGCGGAGCTTGTCAACAGGTATGTGTTTTTTGCGATGTGTTGCTTGATTTACTTAATGTGTGTGATCAATACTGTTAGTTGTGTGTGTGTGTGTGTGTGTGTGTGTGTGTGTGTGTGTGTGTGTGTGTGTGTGTGTGTGTGTGTGTGTGTGTGTGTGTGTGTGTGTGTGTGTGTGTGTGTGTGTGTGTGTGTGTGTGTGTGTGTGTGTGTGTGTGTGTGTGTGTGTGTGTGTGTGTGTGTGTGTGTGTGTGTGTGTGTGTGTGTGTGTGTGTGTGTGTGTGTGTGTGTGTGTGTGTGTGTGTGTGTGTGTGTGTGTGTGTGTGTGTGTGTGTGTGTGTGTGTGTGTGTGTGTGTGTGTGTGTGTGTGTGTGTGTGTGTGTGTGTGTGTGTGTGTGTGTGTGTGTGTGTGTGTGTGTGTGTGTGTGTGTGTGTGTGTGTGTGTGTGTGTGTGTGTGTGTGTGTGTGTGTGTGTGTGTGTGTGTGTGTGTGTGTGTGTGTGTGTGTGTGTGTGTGTGTGTGTGTGTGTGTGTGTGTGTGTGTGTGTGTGTGTGTGTGTGTGTGTGTGTGTGTGTGTGTGTGTGTGTGTGTCCAATTTCACTTCAAGGTACCAGTGCATCTAGTGTCTGCTTTTATCAAAGCAGCGTGCTGTCTATACTGGTTACCCCAGCAAGTGTAGGGTGTGCATAGGTACCTGTCTTGGCCGTCCTATTCCGATGTACTCCGTGTGGTGTAGACCAGGTGTGCATTGGGGGGTCGATTCACATGGCTTCGCCAGTTGTGTGGATTAGACAGTTATCTGGCGCTTGTCTTGATCTGTTTCAATGAGAATTAGATCCGCTATCGTTGCTATAAGAGAAAATCTGTGGGTGCACATCCAGTGCATTTGCAGATTTGCGTGCTTCTCTTGCGACGGGCGTATACATGGTAAATGGTGTGTGCGTGCGTGTGTACGTGTGTGTGTGTGTGTAAAAAAAGGAAAAAGAAAAAAATGAAAAAGACCAAAAAAGGGATTCACTGGCCAGAAAATGTCACTCCAAATAGCTGTATGGTGTAGACCAGGCTGAATAGTGACGGTCAATTCTTCAGCCTTGCAAGCTGTTGAATGGTGTAATCCCAGCACAAGTTGCTATGGCTTCTGCCGTAGCATTGCTATCATCGCCTCCGGCGATGGGCGTCAAAGGTCAAAGGTCAAAGGTGTGTGTACATATGTGTACGTGTGTGATGTATGTGCGTGTGTGCGCATGTATGTGCATGCCCGTGCAGAAATCTTTTTTTACCGTTCACTTTAGATCGGGTCCGACTGAATATTTCACATCTGTGGGAACGTCACTTCTATCCCTGTGTACATTTAGCAATGCATGCTCATCTGTACATACCGGTAGATGTGTTAGCGTTCGTTGGTTTGTTTGGGAAATCAAGCTTATCATGCTGGTCATATTGTTACTATTCTTGTCTCCTGCTAGCACCGATGGAAACCCTGCACCGGGCCCACATCAAGCACCTTCTTCATCCCAGGCGAGCTCGAAGAGTTTGAAGGCCTCTTCGGCTTCGAGTGCAACGGCGTCAACAGCAAGAACGTCAGCACCTCTGCAGGTCAGCGCTTCACAACCAGCCAACTCTTCAGTTGATACTGGTTTTGACATGCCGATCATCCGTCCAGTCCAAGCAACTGCACGATCCCATGGGGCTACTAGTGAGAAATCTCGCCAACGTCGTCCCCTCTTTGCCAATGTAAGTGCTTTTGAGATCTTGATGGGGGAATTCCCTGGGTGGGTTTGAGTGCATGCTTTCAGAGCGTGATGGAGGCAAGTTACGTAATGAAGGCAGCGCACCACGCACTGACCCCTAACCACAGTGGCATACTCTTGTGTATGCACTTTCGCCAGTACCTTGACAGTTTCGTGATCTGCACAGAACTGTTTCTTCCCGTACGGTGCAATCAGCGTCAATATGAGTATGTGGCACAGCTGTTTTTTTCTATTGAAATTTTTATCTCGCTCTCGCATAGAGCACACTCTCGAATAATGCCCTTCTCCATGCGTCTTCTGAACGAAAAATAGAGCCCCGGGGCTTCTATTCATGCCTACAGTGAGCGGGTATACATGTACGTATACTCGTATACCCTACAGCATTTGGTATACATGTGTGTGTGTGTGTGGGTGTGTGCATGTGGGTGTGTCACTGTGTGAGTGTGGGTGTGCGCGTGTGTGTGTGTGTGTGTGTGTGTGTGCCATGTTCAGGATACTGCACATCTGAAGGAAGCCGATCGCTACCGTCGTGTTCTACAGCAGTTCTCAACACCACACTCTCGCCACAAGAGTCAAGTGAGTTGTATGGTCTCTCTTTCTCTCTATCTGTCTCTCTCTCTCTCTCTCTCTCTCTCTCTCTCTCTCTCTCTCTCTCTCTCTCTCTCTCGCTCTCTTGCTCTTTCGCTCTCTCTCTCTCTCTCTCTTGCTCGCTCTCTCGCTCTCTCTCTCTCACTCTCTCTCTCTCTCTCTCTCTCTCTCTCTCTCTCTCTCTCTCTCTCTCTCTCTTCATACTCACTAGTGGGTACAGCTCAGTGCAACCCATGTACATCTATCAAACACGGCCAAGCTCGGCAAACACACATGTATGTCTGTATGACCAACTGCTCTTGGAGGCGAAGGCTGATTTCTGCACCAATGGGTTACGAACGACAATGTCCGTCACAGTGACTGTTGCTGCCAACTGCTTGCCATGGGTGTTGTCAGAATAGCTCGGAAGTTTCAAGGCGTGAGACCAGTGTTTTGTGCTTTGTGTGCATCTGTGTGTGTGTGTGTGTGTGTGTGTGTGTGTGTGTGTGTGTGTGTGTGTGTGTGTGTGCGTGTGTGTGTGTGTGTGTTTGCCTGTGTGTTTGCCTGTGTGTGTGAACGTGTGTGTGCTAATGTGTGTGTGTGTGTGTGTATGTTGATAGGATGCGGTGAGGTTAGAGGAGCGTGATCAGTACCGTTCTCTTCTACAGCAGATTACATCACCACCGCCGACACGCAGAGGCAGCAGCAGTGGAGGGTAAGTCACTTAGCTACAGCAGGGTTGATTGTGCCAATCCGTGGAGCCCCGGAACCGGATTCGCCTAATTCGCACATGTTTTATTGTACGAATCTGGATCCCGGTCCCACGGATTCGGATCCAGTCAACCCACCTCACAGAGCCGGATTCAGCGGATTCATTTGCATTTTGTCTACTCTAAACTCCAAATGTGCGTACACTATGTCAAGATTTGATGCGCCGTTTGTTTAAAACTGTCAAGAGTTTACAATGATGCGTTCAGATAGCACGGAATAGTAAGGGATGAGCTGTAGCAACGCGCTTGCTAAAGCCTTGAAATTGATTACCTGCTGACGAACTGTGACGGACAGTGGACTGTTGCGTTCGAACAGTTTCTTTCTGGCGAGCTTGTGCCAGAGCTTTGCCCAGAGTGAGGGATGGGTCCAGTTGCAGTTTCTGGGACAGGGCATTATCTGCAACAAGGCGATCACAGATCATCTCATCGTGGAGCTGTTTGAAGTTGCAACGTTCGGCCAAACGAAACAAATCCGTGATGTAGCCAACGATCGATTCTCCGGGCTGTTGAGACCTCTGGTGGAATCTTGCACATCTCATAAACCAGATTGCGCTTCCTGCCAATAATGGTCAGCAAATTTCTGGAAGACAATGTCGTAGGTGTACGCGTCCTGATCCGATAAATGAAAACTCAGTAGGAGGTCGTCAGCCTCGTCGCCCATCGAATACAACAATGAGTTGACTTGCACGGACTGTGGCTGCATATGGAGACCAGAGGCCAGCCTGTACCTTGTAAACCGTTTGCTCCACTTTTCCCAAACGTCGGCGGATTTGAAGGCAAACGGGGCCGGAGGAGCTACTTGTGTTAGATGTATCATGGACGGAACCTGTGCCTGTGGTGCTGCGGGACCCAGAGACTGTACATTGGGAAGGGAAAGTGCAGCCGCGGAGGAAACAGCAGAGGGTGCAGCATGACCAGCACTCGAGACGGTGGCTGCTCCTGACGAGCCAGCACTGCTAGTACTACCTGAGGAAACCGTGATAGAGGTAGTTGTGGGAGTAGCCGAAACAGGGTTGTTGGAAACGCCTGTCGCCATCCTGTCAGAGAGGAAATCCCAACGCTGCCACCATGTACTGTTCTCTCAACGTACTGTGTACGCGTGGAGAGCACACCAAACAACTAATTTATCACGGTCTCGTTGTGAGGCAAAAAACCCTTTTCATTATCAGTGCAAGAACACAAATAGTAGTACAAGAAACATGATTCAACAGGACAGTAGCGGGTGCTCCTTATCGGGATCTAGTAGAGTAGTACTTGAGGGTACGCTACAGTGCATGACACATCTAGATATGGGATGAATCATCAAAGGGATACCGTAATGGATAGTCTAGACCTATGGAGAGAAGAGTACAAATAAGAGAACAGGCATACACAATGGGTACACACACACACATGCGAGATAACACTACAAGTTGTGCACATTTGATTGTATCCGCCCGATTGAAGTGATCTGGTCGGCGGGGATCGGGATGCAATTTCCACAATCGAATGCAGCCTTAGGTAGAGCAGGGTTCTAGCCAAAGGAGGGTGGGGGGGGGGGGGGGGGCAGCACCCTCCTGTGAAAATGTGCCCCCCCCCCCCCCCCCCCTACTCATGTGTCGATTGTTGTGTTTTTCAGGCAGTTCAATGAAAAATGCAGTAGATAGTTACTAACATAGGGTTCATAAATGTACACTTCTTGTCTGGGGTGAAGGCGGGGGGGGTCATCCCCGTACGATTTTGGAAAATGGGTTGCAGGGTAAGTGTCTCCCCTACCCCCCCCCCCCCCCCCCCCCCTATTTTTGACCTGGGTAGAACCAAGAGTACATAACCCCCCAGAGTGTGCAACTCCACTATGGGTGCTGTCCCGACAGAATTTCAAGTTGACGTCATTTTGATGATGCAATGCGCACTGTACACGGATTATCAGACGAATCCGGAACCTGTGGTTGACCGAAGCCGATCGATCCTGTACAAATTATTGCAAAGAAAAACGTGTGATGCGTTGACACCCGTACACATGTTGTAAATCACTGCTGCAAGGAGCATTGCGTCATAAATAATGACGTCAACTTGAAATTCTGTCGGGACAACAGGGTATGTGGGAGTTGCACACTCTGGGGGGTTATGTACTCTTGGTAGAACCCTGGAGAGCTCTATTCTTGGTTAGCATTCTGAGCTCTGGTCATGTGCTATTCCATCGCAAGTTTTGTACTTTCAAGTAAGGGATGGCATAGCGTCTGGTGTTGCTTTCGGCAAGGTGAAACTTGTGTGTGTGTGCACGTGTGCATGTGTGTATATGCATGTGCATGTGTGTATGTGCATGTGCATGTGTGTATATGTGCATGTGTGTATGTGCATGTAGTGATCATGTAGAGAAAGAGGATGGTGCTGATCACGATGACCATGTACCGTATCCTTCGTCGATTGTCAATCACGCTTCTTCTTCACCCGGTCAAGTTGATGACAGCGAGGTCTTGATCACATCAGAGGTGCCAGGTGAGTTGCTATGGGTATTGTTTGGTATTTGCTTTACACCGAACAACAAGGGCAAGCAAGACTAGCTTGTCACTACTCTGAGTTTCATGCTTACGCAATCATCATCATCATCATCACAATCATCAGGCACCAGTAGCGACAAACTTGCCTGGCTTGCTTGTCCTTGTTATTCTGTGTATGAGTTAGAGCGGTTTCACATCTGTCACATGACCACATGGGGCAGCCATGTTGGTTCCAACTCCACTCAACGGTCTCGGCATAGCCCGAAGAGTTTTGAAAGGGAATTTGCTGGCAAAATGGAGCAAAATATCGGTGTGTTCGCTGTAAATTGGGAGATTTTACACTTATACAGTGCGCGTGACTCATTTTCGCACAGTTTTATCAACACGTGACTCACTTTTTCTCGTTTTTGCCAACATGTGACCCACTTTCGGTCAGTTTTCCCACACGTGACACAAATTTTGGAGCAAAAAGGGAGCAAAATATCGAGTGGCCTGGCAAAATGAAAGCAAAATATCGACGATGAGCTAGCAAAATTATGCGGCAAAACATCGAAGCTTCACTAGCAAAATCGGGCTTTGCCTGCCACTCAACCTCGGCATCTGTGGGTCACGTGATGTCGGCCATGTTGGCTCCACTGTCCACATGACGTGATCACTTTCTGCACAAATTTAGTCACATGAGAGAGAGAGAGAGAGAGACAGAGACAGAGACAGAGACAGAGACAGAGACAGAGAGAGAGAGAGGGAGAGAGGGAGAGAGAGAGACACACACACACACACAGACAGAGAGAGATAGAGAGAGACAGACAGACAGAGAAAGAGAGACAGAGAAAGAAAGAGAGGGAGAGAGAGCCAGAGAGAGAGAGAGAGACAGAGAAAGAAAGAGAGAGAAAGAGAGAGAGAGAGAGAGAGAGAGAGAGAGAGAGAGAGAGAGAGAGAGAGAGAGAGAGAGAGAGAGAGAGAGAGAGAGAGAGAGAGAGAGAGAGTGAAACCTTGTCCATTGTATGTTCCTCCCTTTGCTCTCCTTGCGCAGGCAATCCTAACCTTGCCTCTCCAACGCATGTTGTCTCCTTCCCTCGTCATGCCACATCGCAGCCTCACCAGTCAGCCGCGGAGACTATGTCCGCCCTTCCGGCGGCCCACATCGTCTCGTCACCGTACGGTTTCGAGGTGGCCGATACAGCGCGCGAGCCCCACGCTACCTCCCCGCAGGCTAGCTATGTGTTCCTGCCCCAGTCGTCAACAGCTCAGCCGCCGTCGCACGTCTATCCGACAGAAGACCGGCGACGTATCCAGCAGCAAAGTGCCTCAGCATCACACGTGTTCCGCAGTCCCATGGTGTCGCACGTGACCGCACCGCCTCGCCATATTCGCCCCGCGCCGACGTTTCAGAGCAGGCCGGTCGCATCGGCCGCGCCCACCACTGCTGCCGCGTCGTCGAGGATGCCGTCCACTCGCGGTGCTGGCTTCCGTCACTCATCACATGATGAACCTGGTAAGTTAGCTCACAGTGTGCATGCTTTTGCAATGTTTGAAATGCTTACAGGGCGCTCGTAGCCTGTTACAACCGTTTTTGTATATGTACATCAAATATCTGGCGACAATTTGTCTAAATAAGCAAGCCACGTAGGGTGGAGTTCTTGGCCTTCGAGAAATTTCCTGGGTCTGATCCACTCTCTCTCTCTCTCTCTCTCTCTCTCTCTCTCTCTCTCTCTCTCTCTCTCTCTCTCTCTCTCTCTCTCTCTCTCTCTCTCTCTATCTATCTATCTTATCTCTCTCTCTCTCTCTCTCTCTCTCTCTCTCTCTCTCTCTCTATCTATCTAACTTTCTATCTATCTATGTATCTCTATCTCTATTTATGGGTGTGTATGCGTGTGTGTATCTGTGTATCTGGGTGTGTATATGCACGCACAGGATCAGGTGATTACAATGCACGTCACCGTGACACCGCCTGCCTGCTGTCTGACGACGGCGACGAGGAGCATGAAGAACCTGCCGTTGCCAGGGGTAGTGATGACATCAGTACAGAAAGGACTGGGTATCATCCCGCACCTGCTGCTTCACGTTCATGGGCAAAGTATGTACTGGTAGTAGCACGGCCTTCTGCGTGTGTGTGTGTGTGTGTGTGTCTCTCTCTCCCTCTCCCTCTCTCTCTCTCTCTCTCTCTCTCTCTCTCTCTCTCTCTCTCTTTCCCACTCACTCCCACATGCACAGATATATGTTTGTTGATCACGCTCTTTTGACGACACTTACCCTGTGTGCACACTGCACGTTGTGGATTCAATCTGTATTCTATTTACCCTGGATCTCTACACAAGAACATTCTAAGTGTGACTAAGAGTGTATACCCCCCCCCCCCCCCCTCCCATTAGTGTGCAACTCTTGATACCCTTTCTATGGGGTACGCCAACGGCGAAAACTCACATCACCATTAGTGTGCAACTCTTGATACCCTTTCTATGGGGTACGCCAACGGCGAAAACTCACATCACGTGCTGTAGTGTCCCAGTTGTACGTTTCCAGCCTGTTTTAGGGAGCAGCGGAGTAATAATAAAAGCACTCTCTGGCAGAAATTCACTGCGCGCATGCATCTCACCAGCATCAATCATGGCAGATTTTCGGACTGGGCGCACACTATCCCTAGTTGTACGTATTACAACGCGTACTTCAACTTGAGACACGTGATGTGAGTTTTCAGAGTCGGAGACCCCTTATGCCGAGTTGCACACTCTTATCTTGGGGGCTTATAATTATACTCTTGGCCTAAGGTTCTCACACCGTACAAACTTCATTGCACTCTGCCATACGATTTTCCTTTCCCTTGGCTCTAAAATCAAGGTGGGCGCTCTCGCGGTACTTTACGGTATTTGAGCCAGCGTGTACATACGGTTATCATGTACCTGGTGAAATTCTAGCCTGTTCGTTCTTCGGCGCATCAGTCTTCGATGTCCAACAGTACTGTATGCTATGTTGTGTGATGTGCTTTCAGAATTTCTTCTCACTCTGGCGTGAAGCAAGCCATGTCGACAGATTGGATCACCAGTTTGTAAGTGTGTGTGTGCGTGTGTGTCCGCGCGTGTGTGTGTGTGTGTGTGTGTGTGTGTGTGTGTGTGTGTGTGTGTGTGCGTGGTCATGTGTGTTCATGTGTGTGTGCGCATGTGATGTGTGTGTGTACCGTAAAACAGGCATGTGTCGATGTACCCCCAGACTGTGTATGGTGCTCAATGTCCGGTTGACAACGCCAGCAATAGGATAATCAGTAGGGGTGAAACAATTATACCGAGTACTCGAGTACTCGATCGGTTTTTTCAAAAATAATCGTACTCGGAATAAATCAGAGTACTCGTTCATACTTGGTACATGCATTTACTGCAGAAATCTGCAGTTTCAGAGCAGCAGTCGGCAGATGGTGATGTGCAGACTGTGTGGTGAACATTTGTTCACGAGTAGAGAGAGCCCAAATGACCCACCAACCAATACACCCGAGAAAAATGACTGCTACTCGGTTCAATCAGGGTTGTATCATGTTATTTTAAAGCCCTTGGTGTGCAATTGTTAGGAGATGAAAAATACTCGAATACTCGAATATTCGATCGGAGAAAATCAGAGTACTCGAACTCGGGATCTCAGTGCCAACTTTCACCCCTAATAATCAGTGATCACACAGCTACAATACAACCAGATCTTCAATGCTGATACTCACTCACGGTGGTGGTTAACACAAAACTGCAAGTCTGTAAATAATCTGTAAACTGGCTTCAGATTTGCAGTGCTTTGGGAATGGGTATGTCCGCCCAAGTGCATTCTCTACAAAACTCCAAGTATAAACAGCCTGGAAAACTCGGTTCTGCTGTTGCTGTGCAACTATGCAAATAGTGTATGTAGCACCAGTATGGAATATTGGTTGTGTGCAACACTGGCTCACACTCAAATCACTGCTTTTCACCAGAAAAATATTTTATTTCAACGTTTCAGTCATGAAATAACCATCATCAGGAATCATTAGTACCAGTATGTACCGTATGTACCGTAAAAAAATACTGTCCCCGGAGTTGATTTGCTCTGTGTGTGTGTCTGTGCGTGTATTGTACCAGGGTATCTGATGTTGATAATGTGTTGAAAGAACGTCAGCAAAGGGCTGACACACTGGAGCGATCCCTGCAGAAGATGAGATTACAGGTCAGTGTCGACGTGAATGTGTGTACATACATACATACATACATACACACACACACACACACACATCTTTGACCTTTCCTTTTGACGCCCATCGCCAGAGGCGATGATAGCGATGCTACAGCAGAAGCCATAGCAACTTGTGCTGGGATTGCACCATTCAACACGCACGCACACACGCACGCACACACACATCTCTATGTCTAGTGTTTATATCCGACCATGGCGCTCCCAGAAGGGGAACACCATTTTACAGAGGGGGAGTATTCGTCAGGTGCCCACTTCAAGTCTGTTGAATGCATGATTATGACACTCCTGGCAGTTATGGTGTATGCATGCGTGCACGCGCGCGCACACACACACACACACACACACACACACACACAGCCTGTTGAGCATATGACATGTAACTCGTTGCTTTTTTTCCTTTTTGTGTATCAATGTGCTACAGAGAGAGGAGAAAGAACTGGCAGAGACACAACAGGTACTTTGGGCTTCCTTTTATTTGATTCACTTTTGTATGTGTTCTTGTGTATTCATGTGTGTGTTCTTGTGCATTCATGTGTGTGTGTGTGTGCGTGTGTGTGTGTGCGTGTGTGTGTGTGCTGCAGAAAAAACACCTTTCACTCTTGCCTCTACCTGTGCTTTGAGCTTGTATTTGAGTTGCGAAAACATTAGTAGAGTTTGCACTTTTCCCTTGATATGAATGGCTTTATGTGTGTATATGTGTGCGTGCGTGAATCCGTGTGTGTATAATTATATATATAATTATGTGTGTGTGTGTGTGTGTGTGTGTGTGTGTGTGTGTGTGTGTGTGTGTGTGTGTGTGTGTGTGTGTGTGTGTGTGTGTGTGTGTGTAAAAAAGACCAAAAAGTAGGGATTCACTGGCCAGAAAAAGCCACTTCATAGCTGTGTGGTGTAGACCAGGCTGAATAGTGGCGGCCAATTCTTCAGCCTTGCAAGCTGTTGAATGGTGCAATCCCAGCACAAGTTGCTATGGCTTCTGCTGTAGCATCGCTATCATCGCCTCCGGCGATGGGCGTCCAATGGTGTGTGTGTGGTGTGCATGCATCTGTGTGTGTGTGTATGCATGTGTTAGCTGAAAGAAAGACTTGAAACCGTCCGTCAGCGGAGTAAAGATATGCGGCTCATTGATGCTCCTCTTCTCGATGAGGTAAGATTATTGCTTTTTTTCCTTTCCCGCGCTCCGTTTTCAGGAGAATTTTCAATCCGGGTTGAAAGTCTGTACGGTAGAAACAATTACATTAGGTGGGTGTTTACATGAAGCGGATTGACTCCGGTCGATTTTCCTTTCTTGCACTCTGTTTTCATGAGAATTTTCAATCTGGGTCGAGTTCAACCCGGGTTGAAAGTCTGTACAGTGGAAACAAATAGGTGGGTCTCTACATGAAGCGGCTTGACCCGGGTCGATTACTGATATGCCGACAAAAGTCCACTTCTCTAGACCGTTATGGTCGCGTGACTAATTTCGCTGGGAATTTGCATGTGGAATGGTGTGCAATTCCACGCACAAAATACGCTCATAGGTACGCTAGTGCATTCAAACCCTCCCCTGGGGAGGGGGGGGGGGGGTGTTGAAATCAACTCAGGTCAAGCGGCATCATCACCATTGCCTGTTGCTATTGCTCTCATGGGTTGAAACTCCATTGGTTAATGCGTTCCTTCCTGACAGGCTGAGTTACTTTATAGAGCTGCACTCTAGGCACATTAGTAATGCCAATGTATGTGACGCCGCTACTCGTTGTGTGTGTGTGTGTGTGTGTGTGTGTGTGTGTGTGTGTGTGTGTGTGTGTGTGTGTGAGCAGGATGAGGAAGAGGAGGAAGAGTTACCGGAGCTCACCGAGGAGCAGGAAGAGATGGTGAGCAAAGCGCTTCGCCGCTCTGGGTCCCAGTCTCAAGTACTGTCCACGGCCTTCAACATTGATATGGCGCGTTCTGATATCGCCACGCTCTCTGGATCTGGATGGCTCAACGATGAGGTAATGATGATGTCATCGTGTCATTATAATGATGTAATGTCTTTGTTGGAGACTACAGTAAACCTACCCTAGCTGAACGCCCTTGGTGCAGCGGAAACTGTCCTGATATGACAGGGTTCCGCTATGTGTTGCTGTCTATTCATTGTAGACCCTGATCCTATCTTTGTACTCATGTTCTTGTAATTGACGATGATGGTGATGTGGCCCACGCTCACCTGTGTGTGTGTGTTTGTGTGTGTGTGTGTGTGTGTGTGTGTGTGTGTGTGTGTGTGTGTGTGTGTATGAGTGTGTGTATGAGTGTGTGTATGAGAGTGTGTTTGTGTGTGTTTGTGTGTGTGTGTGTGTGTGTGTGTGTGTGTGTGTGTGTGTGCTCTGCTCTGCTCTACAGGTAATCAATTTCTTTTTCCAGATGATCAAGGCACGTAACGACGCCGATGAGGTATGTGCTGTTGTTGTTGTTGCTCCTGGTCCTGCTGCTGATGCTGAAGCTTCTATAATGTACAGACTGTTACAACAATGGTGTGCGTTATTCGAGCGGCCGTTGTCTTTAGTCGTGAGGTTGAAAAATATGCAGTCAAATAGTCACTTGGTCTGGAGATTGCATCGTTATTGGCGAGTTGTTGTTATACCAGAGGTGGTTGTTATACCAGAGGTGGTTGTTATGCCAGAGGTGGTTGTTATACCAGAGGTGGTTGTTATACCAGAGGTGGTTGTTCACGAGTTTTTGTTATACCAGAGGTGGTTGTTCACGATGTTGACTGTGCCAGTAGACACAGCTAACACTTCATGACAGCATGGCCGACATCATAGAAGTGATAGACAGGATGATGGTCTCGCATCTAAGTTACTAGTAGTTGTAATTTTAGCATCATTGTGGACGATTTCCGCTGCGTGTATCGCGTAGCTAGATCGTATGTGAACAATCTGTTTGTTGATGGTCTGTGCGACCGCTAACCCAGCCGGGTGTTGATTGCAAGCCCAGCTGCTGATTGTGATGGGTCTGTCTCTTCTTGTTGTTGCATGTGTGTGTGTGTCTGTGTGTGTGTGTGCGTGTGTGTGTCTGTGTGTGTGTTTTCTTTTCAGGATCTTCCGTCTGTGCACGTAATGTCCTCGTTTTTCTACCCCAAGCTACTGTCAACCGGCTACACCAGCATCAAGCGATGGACGAGAAAGGTACTGCCAAGACTCGTGTGGGCAGATGGGTGTGTGTGTGTGTGGGGGGGGGGGGGGGGGTACGTGTATGTGTGTGTGTTTGGGGGGGGGGGGGGTACGTGTATGTGTGTGTGTTTGGGGGGGGGGGGGTATGTGTGTGTGTTTGGGGGGGGGGGGGTACGTGTATGTGTGTGTGTGTTTGGGGGGGGGGGGGGTACGTGTATATGCGTGTGTGTGTTGGGGGGGGGGGGGGGGTACATACTGCATCGGCGTACAAATAGATGCCTATAGGTAGGCTCCGGCGGATTATGCTCGCGAAATCATGGAATTTTGCTTTCATGGATTCTCGCATTATGCTCGTAAAATCCTCATGTTATGCTTCGAAGTTGGCACCCGGGATATGCAAGTATATATTCACTTTGTTGTACTTATGGAGCCTCAAAGTTCTGAAAATTGTGCCTTTTTTGTACGTTGCAAGTGGCCATAAGTACAACAAAATACATGAGTATCCCATACCAAGGTGTCCATGCATGTTAGAGATCAACATGGAAAAGAGAAAACATTACTTCTATTCATTACTTTTTTTCGGTGGTCAAGAGTTTTTTTTACAATAGTGGTGATCACCATCACTGATACAACGAAATTTGAAAGAAAAAGAAAAAAAGGCCCAACCCTGCCCTGCCAGCTACTACAGTATTTGGACTTACGGGGGTCGCCATGGCAAATAATAAGTAGTAAAAATGAGCTAATAATTATGACTGTGAAAACAGTCTACATGACAATATTCAGTCAGCCATAATGGATGCCTCCGCAGCGACCACAGCTGCAGATGACGCGACAGGAGCATGGGCAGAAAATATGGATCGGCTATCACGCACACACATTACACTGGCCCGTATTAGCGCTACGCTGAGACGACACCGGATGAACGCCATGGTGAGGGAGTAGGACTCACCTTCTTCTCTGCAAGCAACACAGCAATTCTCTTGTACGGAGCTGATGCACACTTGCTCATGCCGCCAGTCGTAGAGAACACGGCCGGGACAAACGAGGCATGCTCTACATCACGCAAGCGCTGTTCGTACGAACGCTTCTTTGCCTTCTCATGGCGGGTGTAGGCTGCGGAGACGGAGGAGGATCGATTTGAGGGCGCAAATGGGTTGAAAACCCTGACATCAATATATGTGCGTTCAAATCGTCCTCCCCATATCCCGTAATCTGGCAGCATCGGCACGAATGGCAGTGCGAAGCAGGGAGTAGTACAATACGGTATTGTACTACTCCCTGGTGCGAAGAGACAGCTGCTCACCTGACAGAGGCTCGAGGTGCGGCTCAACGGAGACATTGGTAGCTACTCTCTTCAGAAGGCCAGCTGTCACATCTCGAATTTCATTGTGGCGAATACTGGGGTACCCACCCGTTGGACAGCTCAAGGCATGGGCGATGGTGAACTGGCTCCCACAAGAGCACGCAGACGGCATGTGCGGTAGTCTTCAGTTGTAACGGAGATGTAAACCATCCCGAAACTCCGCCTTCGCCATAGCAAAGCCACGGCGTTTCAGGGGTCGGCACGTCAACCACCCTGAGGCTCCCTTCTCCGCTGCAAGCTCAACTGTGCGCTGTTGGTCTGCACTGAGTGAAGAGCATACAGTGGCAGTGTGGGTTCGGAGAGCGTTGCGAGCTGACGTCTGAACTGCCTTCTTGATTTCCTTTGTACTTCAGTAAAAATATTTTTTCATTGCCAAATTAGTTTGAGTTACCTTTGAAAATAATCATGTTCAACGGTCTTCGTAATCATCATACTGGTCCAACCGATGTCACCCTCACCCTGCGAATAATCAGCTCATCTCTCCCGTAGCTCTACCTCTCCTTCCATCATGACCGAACAACAACTATACATCAATTTAGAGCAATATCCATAGCCTGCACAATCATATCATGGCTGCTAAAATCCAGAGGTCATGACTTCGTAACATCAAGAGCACATAAACCTTTATGTACTCTCGGTAACATGCATAATGTACAAAATTAATGTACATGTACATGTACACGAAGTTTTGCGGCCCGACTACCCGCCACTATCTCGTCCGCCCCGGGATACCTGATGGAGGCTGATTCACTCGCATCTTCTGCTACATGACTGTACTGTGTCAGTGTGAGAAAGAACTTTGAAGGAGACGGGTTCGAGCATACAATAATGTATTGCCATGGTTCAAGTCTACCCTGCTTTTCATTGAATACACTATCTGCATGACCTCCGAACCCTTTACCATGCAGACCACCAGCACTGATCAGGTGCATTGTACACAATTGTATAGCCTACATACTAGAACTGTGGTATAATCGTGTAGTTATGCTCCTGCCTCCGAGAGGATGCCAAATTATGCTCCAACATTTCAACCACCAAATTATACCAATAATTAAAATATAATAAATTTCACGGTTCGCGTGAGACTCGGCTGAAAGCCGAGTTTTCCGCATCCGCTGTGGGAACGCCACCACCCTCTAGGATCAAAGGCGTAATTATGCCGGCATAATCCGCCGGTGCCTACCTATAGGCCGTCTATTCTTGCTTTGCCCGGTATCGTCATCAATGGACTAATCATCATGATTCGTGATGTCTGCCTTTCATTTATTTTCCCTGCTTGCAGGTGGACATCTTCTCAAAGGATCTAATCGCTATTCCTATTCATTTGGGAATGCACTGGTGCTTGGCGGTAAGTAGTAATTATAATACTCTAAAAGACGGTTAATAAGTACTTGCACGAAATAAGTACCCCCCCCCCCCCCCCAACATTCTTACACTCTGTTGTAGAGAAGATTATCCCGAAGCCTGCTGCCGGAAATACTTGTCTGTACCGGCAGGGTTCTTCCATACAAGTAGTATCTGTATAGTGTGTTCTGGGACGGGGGGGGGGGGGGGGTTCGGAACCGGTGCCGGGTTCTAGCTATGCATTTGCTGTGGGATTTCACCGAGCGCAACTCCAGTTGGAACGACGTGCACGGGAGAAAATAATTTCTCCACACACACAGGACTGTGGATATACTATGTATGAGCTTTCAGTGTGTCATTGGACAGTCAGCATGCCGTATGACTGAAGTCACTGTACACTGGATAAGTCACTTTTGGTTCATTGTGCATGTAGACAGTTATTGTTTGTGTTCCTGCTCTCATACCCCTTGTCTCTCTCTCTGTATGTGTGTGTGTGTGCGTATGTGTGCGTATGTGTGTGTGTGTGTGTGTGTGTGTGTGCGTATGTGTGTGTGTGCGTATGTGTGTGTGTGTGTGTGTGTGTGTGTGTGTGTGTGTGTGTGTGTGTGTGTGTGTGTGTGTGTGTGTGTGTGTGTGTAGATGATAGATTTCCGTGCCCAGGCCGTGACTTACTATGATTCTCTGCTGGGTGATAACTCACAGTGTTTGAGTAGTCTTCGGTGAGTGTAGACTCCATACCTCCTTGCTGTAATGTTGTGCTAACAAACACACATGCGTACATCCACACGTTCGTAAGCACACCCTCATATGCATGTGGATGCGTACCATTCTGATGCACATGTCATAACGGATTTTACATGCCAACAAGCAAAAGTAAGAAAAGTTGAAGTTCTGGAATTCTTGACTCAGTTCAGCCTCGAAGCAGAAAAGACATGAACTTGACGAGGCGAGAAAGCAGAGTGCAATTGAAATGTTTTTTTATGAGATATGGTACAAGGGCATACCAGTGATTCATTGTACGGGGGGGGGGGGGGATTGGTACCGGGGCAAGCTAGTGATTCACTG